CCTGGGCAACAAAGCGAGACTCTGTCTCAAAAACAAAAGGCCATAAACAAATGTGACGACACTGGTAATATGGTACTTTGGAAATTAACTATTAAACACATGCCTATTTTAACTATCCAGTAAAATATGTCCTACAACCAGTTTGTTTTCTTAGTCATAATGATAAATAACAATGTCAGTGACCTGAATACCATTGGTTTCACACTAATAAGGGGAATGATGATTATACATTTTCTCTTGAACTATATTTTTAGTTGTCATCATTTAAATATTAAATAGCCGTTTTCCTCTCCCTGGCCCCACTCTGTAAAATTCAAATAAGTTTTGGGTTTCTTTATTGGCCCCCTCTCTAATTGCTCCTGGAAGTCTATATAAGGCACTCTTCTGCCCAGCATAGGCTAGATCTAATTATTGGCAACCTCAGAAAAGCTTTTGTGAACTGAGATTTTTCTGAAAAGATTCTCTAATAATATCATTTTTAGATAAAACTTCCAAAGTATGCCATCTTTAGACACTATTTCACAGGTGGCAGGGTCCTGCTACTTGCCGTAAAGATTTAAGCACTGTGAACAGGGATTAACACACCATGTTCCACCTGCTCCAGATGCCTCCCCCCATGGGACGATGGTCAGTCTAGAACTTGTGACACTCACCACATACTTCTGCCCTCTGAAGGTGCCCTGTCCTCCCTTCATGAGGTCTGGCCCTCTGCGACACGCCATCAGGGAGAGCACAGAGAGACTGATGGAAGAGTGGGCTGAACCCTGGCTTTGCCACCTCTCCAGGATGAACCTGTGCCTCAGTTTCCCATTTGTCAAATACTTAATAACAGTAGCACCTATGGCATCATTGCTATGAGGATCAATAATAATAAATATCAAATGTTTGGAATAGCGCCTAGTACACAGTAAACTTTCAGTAAATGTTAGCTGATGGTATTATTGTCTAACACTACAGGGGCTTGTATACATACAAATATGGCATGTATACATATGTATACCATGTATCTATTTGTATACAAACAGATCTGAAACCAGTGGCAGGATTATTAAAGACAAACAATTGATGTTTTAAAATCTGAATTAGACAGTCTGTATTCTAAAACACACACAGAAATCTGTACCAATTAAATACAATAAAGTTGAATGGGGATATAAATTACAGTTTTTTCTTTTTTTTAAACGGACAATAGTAAAATACTACAGTCAGCTCACTATACACAAAAACCATGAACAGCAGCTTTTCATTACAGTTTCCGATATCTTACTCATTTACTGATGCCAAGAACTCAAAGAAAAAAGGTACAGCAGGCTGTACCCCATTCTCTCACTCTTGCTCTCACGTTTGTAGCTGTACACCCAGGCCAATTATACAGGCATCTACAGAATAGGTACAGAAAGGACTTTTCATACACACGGTCCTTCAAAATCTCCGTTCATAGGAGAACTTTACAAATGAAGACAACAACAGCAGAGTCATCTGTATTCGATCATCTCTTGCAAACATGGTAAAGTATGAACTGGGTAACTTTATGGCTCAGTCCATCTCTTCAGCATTTCCCAGAACCAAGCAAAATAACAACAGCAAAACCACACCACAGTGAAACCTACCAATCCAAAACAAAACCATTAAAAAAAAAAACCAAAAAAACCCAAATCGACACCCCTCCCATCCCACCCCACCCCAACCCAACCGGTGGCTGTCCTTGTGTTTTCTGACAGTAATACTGCTCTCTGCATTCCACCTGTCCGCCTGGGCTGACCCAAGGGACAGGAAGCTCCAGAGTCAGAGCTCCAGTCACTGTCAACAGGTTGTTAATACAATGTCAAGTCAGTAGGTGCTGGGCCAGGTGGAAGACCAAAGATTGTAGCCGTGAGATTTCTCAGTGTGCTTATGAAACAAAGGACAGAGACGGGCAGCACAGGAAGTATGGCACCAAACTTGCGGTCAAACATATTATGTTCACACAAAACAACAGTGGACAGCAAAAACGTTCAGTCTTACGTCAGTTCTTTGGTTATAAAGAACAGTATGCTGTAACCTTCTCTGCAAAGAGGGATTTGCAAGCTCATTCTTAGGCAAAATATTTTTCATCTGCTCATGTATAAGAGATCATCCAAGTTGTTTTGTAACGAAGTCCAGTACCTTATGATTTCCTAAAAATCACCGTTATCTGCATTTTAGTGTGCAGCCATGTCTGCCTCCGAACAGACATACTATAGATACACATTTCATATACATAATATATATTATTTATAAAAAAAAACAAATTAGAGCATTGACTCCAGATTCTACAGTAAGAATTGATTAAAACTGTACAAGAATAAAGTTTGTTTGAATCTGTAGAGGTTTCTACACAGTGGAGGTGTGTAGTAAGTGCAAACAAAAATACTGTCACTTAGTTAATCCAGGATTTTCAGTTCTCTTGCTTTCTGAAAAAAGCAGAGGCTGCTGATTCACCCAAGTGACAAAGTGCCGCTTCTCCCGCCGGGGAAGGGAAAGGAGGTGGCCCAGGAAGCGCATGGCTTGGCTTCTCCAGCCTCTGGTCTGAGGTTCAGCTGGGCGGCAGCATGTTGCAAAGATGGGCTGGTGCTTTCCCAAGGTGGCCTGAGGAGGAAGTGCTCGCTGCCTTTCACCGTGGGGCCGTGGCTCCCTGGAATGCAGAGGCTGGTGAGTTCAAGCTTCTCAGCCCCACCTGCCCCCCCCACCCCACGACAGAACCCACCCTCGGCCCAGACCACACTCCCCCCAAGAAAGGGGCTCTTCCTAAAGCGACCCACAGGAGTGGGTTTATTATGGAATCCAGTGCTGGAATTCATACTATACACATCCCGGGGTGAAATTTCTAGGAAAAATCATGATAGCAACACTCGAAGTTTAAAAAAAAAAGTTATTTCTGGACCCATGCTCTTAAGTCATTTCAGGGTTAGAGCAACAGTCCAATTTTAGTACCTGAAAAGTTCTCAAATACATTTTAATACTGTCAAAACAATGTATTATTTTTTTTAAAATTTAGAGACAGAATCTTGCTCTGTTGCCCAGGCTGGAGAGCAATGTGTGACTGTGGCTCACAGCGGCCTGGAACACTTGGGCTCAAGAGATTCTTCCACGGTGGCCTCCCAAAGTACTGGGATGGCAGGCGTGTGAAAACAACTTACCAAAACTAATGTAACAAAAATACTAACACAAAATTTTTTAAAGGAAAAAAATTGCAAGCCGGGTGCGGTGGCTCACGCCTGTAATCCTAGCACTCTGGGAGGCCGAGGCGGGAGGATTGCTTGAGGTCATGAGTTTGAAACCTGTCTGAGCAAGAGCAAGACCCCGTCTCTACTATATAAAAATAGAAAGAAATTAATTGGCAAACTAATATACATAGAAAAAATTAGCCGGGCATGGTGGCACATGCCTGTAGTCCCAGCTACTTGGGAGGCTGAGGCAGCAGGATTGCCTGAGCCCAGGAGTTTGAGGTTGCTGTGAGCTAGGCTGACGCCACGGCACTCACTCTAGCCTGGGCAACAAAGCGAGACTCTGTCTCAAAAAAAAAAAAAAAAAAAAAAATCCCCATAATTCCATCATCTTGCTACACAGCAAACAGTTCTGTAAATCCCACTTTTAAACCAAGCTCTCTGGCAGGGACATGCTATTCTGCAAACTTCTGAAACATAAACTTTTTCTATTTGTTGCCCCTCTTCCCTCTTCTCTGGCCCTCAGACACTCCCCACCTCTACAGAGTGGAAAACCTAATTTGTGAAAACCTAATTTCCCCTGCTCCACCTCCCATGAAGCAAAATCACAGGGGTGGAGAGCAGTGAGTCCTGGGAATTTGAGTTTTTAAGAGGCGTCCTCCTCTACTGACCCCCTACCACTCAGTGAGTCTGTTGCACATTTAGGTTTGTGAAACAAACTTAATTCTTAGGGTGAAGAATGAAAGAGGCTTTAACACGGCCTTCTTGAACAAGGACGGAAAAGCTGGCACAGACCAGCCATGCAGATTCTGCTTCAACCCGTGTAAAGGAAGATGCACGTTTTGCTCACAAGAACAGTGGCGAGTGACTACCATCATTCTTCTGTTGGGCAAAGAAGTCTTTTTCTTCTTGTAAGAGATGACTGTTTAGGTTTCGGCCGTTTATTAATGAGTACGCCACATAAAAGACACACGCTGAAATGTTAAGGCCCAGTAAGGAAAGCAGGGAGGAAAGCCATTACTCTGGAATAACTTTCTCAGCAAAACAAAGGGATTGAGTGGCACCATGATTATCTTAGCCTTCAACAAGGCTCTTTCTAGTTCTGTTAGCTCTTTGTTTCGCTAAGCTGTGGCTCTCCCATGCCTCCTGCACAGCCATGGGGCCAAGAAAGTGAATGTGAAAGGAAAGAAACTGTGGTGCTCAGAAGTGGATAATCTCTTATTCACATCATTTTCTGTTTGCCTTAGGAATATTAGCAAAACTCCATTTTGTTCCAATTAGAAGATTTACCCGTATTAAAACCAACCTGGGTGACTTCCAAAGCCCAAACGTTAATTGCTCAGGGAATTCACCTGTGCCTCCCTAAGGCACTTTTCCACTCATAGGTATCAAATTACTTTATTTTACCCATTCTGTGACATATATGTTCTTCTCCCCACCTTACATCTTTGAAATTGGGGTGTGTCTTATAACTGCCGATTTTTTCTTTCTTATTCCCTCTAATCCAATATGACTGGTATTTTCTTCCTTAATGATACATAAAATAAAGGCATTTAATAATCAAAGGAATCACACATTTGATGAAATATGGTAGATGCTACCAGAATTCTTTGGGATAGCCAGTAACCAACCATCTCAGGGAATGAATATGAGATCGACTGATCTTTATCCATCTGAACACTTTATTCAACACCAACCCACGTGTCAGATAAAAAATTCACTGGTCCTATCTATTTCATGGTTCCACTCTGGTTCCCAAAGCAGACCTGCTCTGCCACAGAGTCTGAGCTGGGTGGGATGTGACCTGCTGCCCAGTGGGCTCATCTTCCTTGTCAGAGACATCTGAATGAATCTCTCCTACCAAGCGATGGTGGTGAAGGGCCTCTGGGGATTGGTGTGCAGTCAGGCGTGCTCACGGACAGCACGGAACCCAAAGGGCTGTCTCTGGAATTTATTACCTTGTCATCCTCTAAGTTGGAATGCAGCTGGACAGGGTCCTGGGGCCCATCGTAGACACTCCTGCTATCCATTTTATTTGGTAGGTTCCTCCTACCTGAAAGCTCTCCAGCAGAGGAATCTGTCAAACCGTCAAAATCTTTGCCATCTGACACCCCCATGAACTCTGTGAAAGAATGGTCCTCAAGGATGTTAGTGGTGTGCTCTACTGTCACCTCCCCCGGGCAGAATTCTCTGGCCGGCTGGCCACTTTTGCTGGGGCAGGCATCTAGTTCTGAACACGAGTCAGTCCTGCACAGCATCTTGGAGTTTTTCTCAGGAATGCTCTGGGATGATGGGCTCCCTTTGGCTAAGGCACTGTTTTCTTTGAGTGGCACCATGATTATCTTGTCCTTTACCAAGCCTCTTTCTACTTCCATCAACTCTCTGTTTGATGACGGCCTGAAATCCTGTCCAAGCGATGGGCCAGAGTGCTCAGTGGAGTCTGCATCCTTCATCTGAATGGCCAGCTGATCTGAGCTGTCGCTGGAAGGGACTGCCATGTCAGACAGCGTGGCATTGGAGGCACTGTGGGAAAAGTAGCCACTGGTAATACTGCTGGTGGTAGGGCTACGGGACACTTCTTTCTCCAAGACCCGTGAGTTTGTCAAATCTACTTTAGAAGCAAACCATTCCCTGTTCTCCAAGCTGGCGTTGTAAACGCTGAAGTCAGCAAACTCCACAGGTACATAAGGCTGTGAATTTATCAGCTTCCTGTTAATAGCTTCCAGCTCATTTTCCTCTTCCTCGGAGTCCTATAAAAATGAAGCAAAAGTCAGTCATTAGCTCCTTGTAGCAATTGTATTGGTGAGACAAGTTTTAAATACTTTAGTAAAGGTATTCACATTCACGTGTTCTGTGTTTTTTGTTTTTCTTTCCAAGTTTGGTCGAATCTTGCCACCTATTGTAGACATAGGTATATCAGTATTTTCAGAGACCTGTGAATTTAAACCCCTCCATACCTAATATGAAGGACATTTATTTCTTCCATGCTCACTTGCTGCTAATTAGAAACCTTTCCTTCCCTGGTGTAGGAGAAAGGATAGAACGGAAATGCAGTGGATTTTTTATTAGCTACTCAGGATTAGTTTTCAGCTGTGATGTTTTCTCTTTTTCTCATTAAAATGAACAGAGGGACAGCAAGAAACAGAAGAGCCACTCCTTCATTTGTTCTTACAATCTTCACCTTGGGAAGCAAAGTGCAGGTAGTTAAGGTAATTTGAAAAAGTTTCTGAGCTATTTTACAGGGGAAAGAGGCAGGAAAATAAAGACCCCAACAGCAAACAGGCAAAGAATACAATTTCAACACCGATTCTTAGGATTATACTATACATTATAAGGCTGTAAAATACTAACAATCACAGTTTTCTAGAGTTTTTGACAAGCATGGCTAGAGGAACTGGCTAGAAGATCAGAAGGACAGATAGTGAGGCTTAAATGAAAATCTCCTTCCTCAAATTGTTTTTGAACCCTGTTTATAAAGCTTGGTAAATACATGAAAAAAATGCATGCCATCAATTCCCCAATCTCTCTCCAAACGAATGATTCTTTTATTTTAGTTATTTATTTTTTTGAGACAGAGTCTCACTCTGTTGCCCGGGCTAGAGTGCCATGGCGTCAGCCTAGCTCACAGCAACCTCAAACTCCTGGGCTCCAGTGATCCTCCTGCCTCAGCTTCCCAAGTAGCTGGGACTACAGGCATGCGCCACCATGCCTAATTTTTTCTATTTTTAATTGTTTGGCTAATTTCTTTCTATTTTTTGTAGAGATGGGGTCTCGCTCTTGCTCAGGCTGGTCTGGAACTCCTGAACTCAAGCAATCCTCCCACCTCGGCCTCCCAGAGTGCTAGGATTATGGGTGTATGCCACAGTGCCTGGCCTGATTCTTTTATATTTGGTAGAAAAACATGGGGGTATTTTATGTTCAAATAAAATAAATGATATGCTATCTAGTTAACTTCATAAACATCCAATGAAATTGCAAATATTCCTCTAAAAATGTGACTTCCTTTTTATGTAAAAACATTTTAAATTCACACATAATAATTGTACATACTTATGGGTACACAGCAATGTTTCAATACATTTTATACAACTGTATGGTAATTAGCGTATCCATCATCTCAAATATTAATATTCATCATTACTTTGTGTTGGGAAGATTCATATCCTCCTTCTAGCTATTTGAAACTATATAATACATTAACTATAGTCATCCTACAGTGGGACAGAACATTAGAGCTCATTCCCCCTATCTAGCTGTAATTTGTATCCTTTAAAAAATCTCTTCCAATCCCCCTTTCCTCCTTCCTTACCCAGACTCTAGTATCCTCTGTTCTACTTTATACTTCTACAAGATCAACTTTTGTTTGGCATCCATAAAATGTGACTCTCATTCAAAAAATATACATGGAGCACCCACTATGTGCTAGCCATTGTCCTAAGACTTGAGAATACTAATGCTAAGCAAAACACAGACATGGTCCCTCCCTTAGGGAGTTACAACTTTGGGTCCTTGCTCTTAGAACAATCCTGGACTCTGCATGGGTGGATAAAACTTTCATTCAAAGTAGAACTGAGACCTCGAAAATAGTTAGTTTTTTTTCATTGGTCATCTGGTTTAACAAGCTAATTGAAACAACTATACAGTTATAACTAGGTGATTATAGAGACCTGGGACCTGGCCAGGTACAGTGGCTCACACCTGTAATCCTAGCACTTTGGGAGGCTGAGGCAGGAAGATTGCTTGAGGTCAGGAGTTCGAGACCAGCCTGAGAAAGACTGAGATCCCGTCTCTGCTAAAAATAGAAAAATTAACTGGGTGTGGTGGTGTGTACCTGTAGTCCCAGCTACTTGGGAAGCTGAGGCAGTAGGGTCACCTGAGCCCAGAAGTTTGAGGTTGCAGTCAGCTATGATGATGATACCACACTCTAGCCTGGGAGATAGAGTGAGACTCTGTCTAAAATAAAACAAAACAAAACAAAAACCAAAAAACAAAACAAGACCTGGAACCAAAACAGCAGCCTTACTCATTAAAGTTGTATTTTAATTGAGGGGTAGGAGGAGGAGATATCTTCAGATGTGTCAAATGCTTGTTCAGAAAGGAACATAAATTTCACCTGTTGAATTTTATAGTAGTATTTTCTTTTGTATCTCAAGATGCTAAACACCTCAACAATAGTTTAATACTCTTTTCAACGCTTCTCAGTTTTAAAAATAATTTAGTTTTAACAACTCAGTTTTAAAAATGTATTTGCATATGAACGTTTAAAGAAATCGGTAATTTTCTTTTTGTATTTTTCTTTTTTGAGACAGATCTCACTCTGTTACACGGGCTAGAGTGCTGTGGCATCAGCCTACTCACAGCAACCTCAAACTCCTGGGCTCAAGCGATCCTCCTGCCTCAGCCTGGCTAATTTTTTCTAGTTTTAGTAGAGACAGGGTCTCAAGCTTGTTGAGGTTGGTCTTGAATTCCTGACCTCAAGCAATCCTCCCGCCTTGGCCTCCCAGAGTGCTAGGATTACAAGCATGAGCCAAAGTGCCCAGCTGTAATCAGTAATCTTAATTCCTTGGCTATTAATCAAAGGTGAGTATCAAATATCAGTGATAAAGTTCCTGAAATTAGCAAAGCAAAATTTTTGGCAACAGTAACCTATTCCCATCTTATCTTTAGCCATGTTCTAAATTAAGAAGTACTATTAAAAAGATGGTGGGTGGAGAGTTCTTTCTCTGGGTTGAGGGATTGTTGGTAATGGAACAAAGACTGAACAGAATTGTCGGAATCAGTAGCCTTTGCCTAATTTTTTAGATTCTCTATTTGTCATGTTTAGACTCAAAATTGAATTTCAAATGTATCTTATATTTCCTTTTGATTTAAGCTGGCAAATAAACATAATTCTCCAAGTTCACAGTACATGCCATAATTAATTACTAAAAAGTTATTTGTTGCGAGGAAAACCAAATTTGAAGATGAGAATTAGTAACATAGGGCTCTTTTTATGCCCGAAGTTATTTCTTCTCAAAACCGAGGAAAGGCTTGTCAACCTAAAATACAATTTTGCTGAATAAAATATGTAACCGTGAGTTTAATGAGTAGAAATAGGTATAAATTTATTAAACTTACAAAGATAAAAAGTTATTCCTAAAGGAGTAGAATCACCTTAGTAAAACTGAAGAGTCTACAAAACTCTAAGAGATTAAGTTCAAGGAGGGAGGAGTTCACAGTTATGCCCTTAAAAGAGTGGGGAAAATGACCCAAAAGCCCAAAGGGAAAGGCTGAAGCAGTAGGGACAACTTATTCCAGAAAAATGAAAACTGAGTAGAGATTAAACATTTTCCAACATTTAAAAGGACCCCGAAAGGTTACTGAGTAATTGCATACAAGGAGAAAAGAAAGGACTTAATTGGCTTAAACTGTATGTTGAGGGAGTTTGGTTAGATAGACTTTTTATACCAGAAACATCATTTCTAAACTAAGCACCTTCCTATGATGTCTTTTTTTTTTTTTTTTCCTATGATGTCTTAAGGACAAAGAGAATTAAAACCCTACCTAAAAGTGGAGCAGGGAGTCAAGTTCTCAAGCTTCTCTATAGCTATAGTCTTCAGGATTTGATTTTTGTGATTTAACTTATGCAGCTGATATTCACCTATAGATAAAAACACTTTGATTTTAAAAAGGGATCAAAACCTACATTAAATCAGTGACTCTTTGCAAGGAGTTTCACTTAATTAATGCAATTTCCACTCTCACTATAATCAGGTCTGTGCTGCCTACTAGAGAGACAGTGTGTGTTTTCAGAACTGTATCAGCCAAGGCTCTCAGTGTTTCTGTCCATGGTACTGAGGGAGCACAGAACTTTGTCAGAAGAGCAGCAGCAGGACATACTGGAACTACCCTATCTTTGGAAGCACCTGAAGTCACTGGAGTCCCTCCAATTATGCTGAAGGATAGGGCTCTCTGTTCTTATGCTCTCAATAAGACCTTGAGCAAGTTGCTCAACAATTCTAGACCTTTGTTTCTTCTTCTGTAAAACAAAAGGAATAAACCACATTCTGTCTATGCAAGCCCTAAGAGAGGGGTAGTATGGATACCAGGGAAAGAAAAATCACTGACTTTTTGTTACCTTCTATGCTTCATGACACAAAAGACATAAAAAGACTCCAAAAAGACTCTTCATAACACAAAAAGACTCCAAAGGCATATTATTGCCTTTATCTTATCTATACTAGGCATGATATATCTTATAGATAGACATCGATATATCTTCCCAAATTGATCAGACAACAAAATACAGCTTTCGGAATCAAGCACAGCCATATTTCATATAGTATATTTTATATGAAATCACGGAAGTTACTATGGTAATTAGGTGGGTTAAAAAATAACAGGAACACAATCTTGGTATTATTTCCCAATAATGATTTCAACCACTCTTGATCAGTACGAAACCACTGAACCACTCTGATTTTTCAAGAGTGGAAAATGAGAGAGAGTTAGGCACAAAGCAAGAAAACAGTTTATACCTATTTAATATAGAGGAAATAAAATTGAAGTTTCCCAAAGAGGAACTAGAACCTCAGGTCATGCCAGCAAAGGAGGAGAAGAAAAAAAAAAAAATAGAACCTTAGGTCAAACAAGCAATGAACTTAAACTCTACCAGAACATCCTGAAAAACAGTTCTCTGGAATAAACAGTCCAATAGCCTCAGAGATGAAGAGTGCTCAGCAAGCCAGTTTTACAAGGAGAGTAGAGGCAGCTCTTTCAAGTAAGATCCCAGCAATAAAAACAATTCCATCAAATCCTACCTAGTGTATTTCATGATACCTGCAGTCACATAGGGTCTAACTGCTGCTTGAGTCTTTCTGGGTGAAGAGAATCTGGTTCCATCCTACCCTCTGCTAGCTGAAAGTCCTGAGATGGGTTTTATTTTCAAATATCAAAAGGAAAACGGAGACAGTAACCATGAGGCAAGCTTTGTGGCCTGTGCAACCAGCTGCCTGGTAGCTCAGAAGGTGGCCCAGCAGTCTCCCGATGGTGTTGTTACAGTAGGTTTCAATTTAGTGCCTGTGACCACAGTGATAAGTGTCATCTCAATAAACAGATCCAATCACACACAGAGCCATAGACTCTGAAGGGTTAACAAACTAGGCATCTGCCCGCCCCCCCCCCCCCCCCCCCTGTTTTTGAGACAGAGTCTCACTTTATTGCCCAGGCTAGAGTGAGTGCCGTGGCGTCAGCCTAGCTCACAGCAACCTCAAACTCTTGGGCTCAAGCAATCCTCCTGCCTCAGCCTCCCGAGTAGCTGGGACTACAGGCATGCACCACCATGCCTGGCTAATTTTTTGTATATATATATTAGTTGGCCAGTTAATTTCTTTCTATTTATAGTAGAGACGGGGTCTCTCTTTTGCTCAGGCTGGTTTCGAACTCCTGACCTTGAGCAATCCGCCCGCCTCAGCCTCCCAGAGTGCTAGGTTACAGGCGTGAGCCACCGCAGGCATCTGGCCTTTTTAGGCCACCCTGCAACCCTTTTTAGTTGAGCAAGGGGCAGTCAAGTAAGTGACTCAACAGCACATTACAATCCAGAGAGACGATGGAGCAGATGCTGATGTGCAGATTCTTCTCCATCAGGAACTAGGACGGGGCTTTGGGACAGAGAGAACCCGGAGGCGGAGGAGGGTAAGAGGGAAAGAGAAACAAAGGAACGGAGGGAAAATGGTGGTTTACTTCTTTCCTCACATGAGGAATGTGAAGGTCGTTTCCTAAGATCCACTGGCACCCCAAGCATGCAGGGGCAGGGCCAACTGCATATCCGGATTAAGTTGCGGTTAGTTTTCACGCCGCGTGCATTAGCAGCATATTTTGGAACTGTTAAAGGATCTCACACTAAGGAGCCTTTGGAATGGCTCTGACATGGTGCTGCTGGGAAATGAGACTCTTCACATTCTGCCCAACAGAGCGGATCATACGCAGACACGAATACCAAGCAGCCTCCTCTCTTCCCAAGCTGGCTTTACTTTTTTAAAGCCCAGAAAGCCACTGAAGAGCAAAAGCCGAGACACAAAATTAAAGAATTCTTTCCAGGCTTGAGAATATATAGATTGTTTTTTTTTATAAATTGAGGTATAATTTGTAATCTAAAGTGCCTGGTGTGCAGTGTTTTAAAAACTGTATCTCAAATTTGTAATTTTATAACCAAGTGCTGGGGAACGAGATTTTACAGACAGGGTTTCAACCTACCTGTGGTAAAATATATAGATAAGCCATCCTGAAAGCAAGGCTGACACCAAAGGGTTGGAATATATTTTGCCAGCTAATTACCAAGGGCTACCCTAGACAGAGAGATGATGATAATGGGTGCTGATGAACTATAACATAGCTCAAACTACAGAATTATCTTGGCAATAGATCAGGCAACATAAAAAGCTCTCAAACACACCCACAGCTAAATGCATGATTACTTACTCCAAGTAAGTGCAATTCCTCTAGGTAGATTAACTTCAGAATCTGGGCAATATGTATAGGCACATTAAAAAGATTTCAGTATTAGTTAAAGTGGTCTCTTTGTTACACTTTTTATAAAGACCAGAATCATTAGAAGTGCATTTCCCCCTTTTTCTAAGCAAACTTATTCCAAGTAAAAAAACAAATAAATAAAACAAAATAGAATGAACACAGGAAAATCACAGTTATGGCCACGTTCATGCAAAATTTCATTACCAATGATCACATTTTTTTTTTTTTAAAGCAGAGACCCCATACATGTCTTATCCTAGCATTTGGATGATTGTCTGTGAAAGGGCCTTAAACCCACCACCAGGCAATATGACAGAAATGGTTCCAGAACTTACAATCTTCTTCTCACGTTTGCTATTGTGTTCTACAGGCATGCTGCTGCCATTGCTTCCTGAGGGCACAATGCAGCCAGGGTTATGTGCCTGAGGTGGAGGCATGCTCTGCAAAGGTTAAGACACACAGATGCATCACACACAAAAGACGACGACAGCCAAAATACATATTAAGTACGTGCAAGTTAGGAAAGCAACGCTAACACTCTTATTACACGTGAGCAACGCAGCAGCCAATTCTGCAGGCCAGACTTAAACTGCTGGAGAAATTGGACAGGAATACACAGATTCTATGGCAAAAACATAATTAGTTCTATCAAAAAATAAATAAGAAGCTTTTAATATTTTCAAAAACACCTAGAAAACATCTGTTTCACTCGAAAGATAAAAAAAAATACTTTAAAAAGGCATAGACACAACAAAATAAAAGTACAACAACATTAACAAACAAGAAATTCTACCACGACCCTGCATGCTCGAGAAAGAGGTATTTGAGAACGGGATCCCATGGAGTGATGACCCATGCATGTCCACATGCGACATCCAACTTGTGAATGCAAATCGCTGCTTTTCTACGGGCGACATGATTCTGTTCTATTCTGCCCGGTACAGACAAGTCAAGCATTTACCTCCTGGCTTAGAAGAGGCCTTGCTTCAAGGGCTATCCTTTTCTTATGCTCCTCTTTTACAGGCATTAGGGGTTTGAAAAACTTTGGCGGCTGGGGAGAGAATGCTTTAAAAGGGCTGACAGTTAAGGCATGAGGATTCTCTGATGTACAACCTGGGGAAGACAAAAAGGCATGAGTTTACAGGTACAGACAACTTTAACCAACACACAGGAAGTGAGGCAACGACCTAGCCATGGAAATATCTGGTAGAATGAAATTCATGGGCTAATATTTGGGTAAGCATTAAAACAGACGTAGGCAAAAACGGAGATAAACCTATGAAATCACAAAGAGTTACTGAGGGGCGGGGCAGCGTGAAAGAAATAAGAAACCAAATTTTCTATCTGTTTTTCAAGAACCAGTTTAAGTGCCACTTATCATACCAATTTCAACTCACACTGATTTTCCATTTCTGAATTATCAGAGCCCTTATTAATCTGTATGTGCATTTTGGTACTTTGTCATTAGACATTACTTATACATACCATAAGACATTACGTATTTTCTGTGTTTCTTATTTCTATAGTTTTATTTTAAGATAGCAAGTAGAGGCTCAATTAATCATCAATTAATCTTCTCAGGCCACCTTCCCCTATATGATTAAGAAAGGACAATTCTTTTTTCTTGCTTGTACTCATTTCTTACTATTTTTGGCCTCTTTCCCCCTTCCCAATTCACTGGTACAAGGGCACTTAGTAGGTAAAATATAAGGTCATATGGTAAGAGAGCTGATTTATATAACCAAATAAGGCTGTTCCCATCAAAGCACTGGAAGACTAGACATTTAGCTAATAATGTTGCCATTGATCAAAGTCATTTCAGGTATTATTTTTAAAACTGATTTAGAGTCATGTTTTTCAAAAATCCTTTGAGTACAAAAACATGACAGAGGTAAATATTCGTTTGGTAGAGAATAACATAATATGATTTGTGTCTCAAAACTGACTTCAAACTCAGGAAATGATGCATGAAAAATGATTTGGATATCCTAAAATGATATACAAAAAGGCTACCATTATTTGGAGAATAAGTTGGATGCAAAGCAAAGAGAAATCAAATAAGCGAACATGATGTGTTCCTTCAAGAAGATTGTTTTGAATCATCTAGTTAACTAGAATTTCAGCTATGTGTCTTATAATATGCCACCCATGAAAGATTTTTCTTCCATTATAAAGAAATAATGCTGCAAAACAATCTCATCACTACCTTCTTTACTCCTTCGAGGTGAATCCCTGGGTAAAGTTCCATAACATGCTACATCTTGGTAACTGGAGCTGTAGTCAGACATATCTAACTGGTTCTCTGGCCAGCCCTACAAGGTAAAAATATAGGTTAACTATAATTAAGTCATTCTAGAATGAGAAATGGGCTGGGCGCGGTGGCTCACACCTGTAATCCTAGCACTCAGGGAGGCCGAGGTGGGCGGATCGTTTGAGCTCAGGAGTTCAAGACCAGCCTGAGCAAGAGCGAGACCCCGACTCTACTATAAATAGAAAGAAATTAATTGGCCAACTAAAAATATATGGAAAAAATTAGCCAGGCATGGTGACACATGCCTGTAGTTCCAGCTACTCGGGAAGCTGAGGCAGTAGGATCCCTAGAGCCCAGGAGTTTGAGGTTGCTGTGAGCTAGGCTGACGCCACAGCACTCTAGCCTGGGCAACAGAGTGAGACTCTGTCTCCAAAAAAAAAAAAAAAGAGAGAAATGAAGCCCAAATTTGAGTTTCTTCTATTTTTTAATGGCAGTATATGCTCTTCTGTATTTTTATTTATTTGTTTATTTATTTTTTGAGTTAGAGTTTCACTCTGTTGCCTGTGCTAGAGTGCCATGGCATCATCCTTGCTCACAGCAACCTCAAACTCCTGGGCTCAAGTGATCCTACTGCCTCAGCCTCTTGAGTAGCTGGGACTACAGGCATGTGACACCATGCCTGGCTAATTTTCTCCATATATTTTTAGTTGGCCAATTAATTTCTTTCTATTTTCAGTAGAGATGGGGTCTTGCTCTTGCTCAGGCTGGTATCAAACTCCTGATCTCGAGTGATTCGCCTGCATCGGCCTCCTAGAGTGTTAGGATTATAGGCGTGAGCCACCGCGCCTGGCCCTTCTTTATTTTTATTATTTAATATTTCAAACATATAGAAAAGTGCTAAATAATTATAATACCATTATATTCAAGGTATACCCAGAGTGAATATATGTTCATATTTTATTGTATTTGCTCAAGATTTAATAAAATCATAAAAAATAAAGTGAAACCTACTTTAATTTTTTTTTCTTTTGAGACAGAGTTTTGCTTTGTGGCCTGACTAGAGTGTCGTGGTGTCATCATAGCTCACACCAACCTCAAATTCCTGGGCTCGAGCTATTCTCTTGCCTCAGCCTCCCAAGTAGCTGGGACAACCACACTGGGCTAATTTATCTATTTTTTGTAGAGATGGAGTCTCACTCTTGCTCAGGCTGGCCTCAAGCAATTAAACTCCTGGCCTCAAGCAATCCTTCTGCCTTCGCCTCCCAGAATGCTAGCATTATAGGAGTGAGCCACCATGTCTGGCTGAAACCCACTTTTGAACCCATGTATGTTTCCATTCATCTTCCTCCCTCCCCAGAGGCAGTCAGTTTGATCAATTTTGCATATATCTAGAATGGCTGGGTAATTTAAAGACCAACCTAAAACACTTTTGAGACTAAAACGGTTCCATTAATGATTTTGCCTGGGTAGCAGACATAGCTAGGACTGTCCCAGGCAAACTAGGTGGTGTGGTTACTCTATGTATGCCTGAGATTTAAAAGTTTCAAACAGGCATAAGGTATTGGTATACTAAAGGGAGGTCCAGCTAACTGGATATTTCCAAGAAGTTGGTACTAGAGCCTTTAAAATAACCATTACTTTAAGAATCATTTGATTCATCAGCTCGGAATTGAAAATGGTTTTGGTAGACAAATATATGTTTAGGCCCTGGTAACTGGATATTTCCAAGAAGTAGGTAGCAGAACTTTTGAAATAACCATTATTTTAAGAATTATTTCACCATTTTTAAAAGGACTGTAGAACTTTTCACCATTATTTTAAGATGATTTGTTTCATCAGCTCAGAACCTAAAATGGTTTTGACAGACAAAACTATGTTGAGGCCCAGCTAACTGGACATTTCTAAGAAGTTGGTACTAGAGCCTTTAAAATAACCATGATTTTAAGAATTATTTCACCATTGTTTCACCATTATTTTAAGAATCATTTGCTGGAGTTGATTTTTGTGAGAGGTGGAAAGTGCAGGTCCTGTTTCAGTCTTTAGACTAAAGTCTAAAGGGAGAAAACTCTTGTAATATGATATGAGTTTATTTAATCTTATTTCAACTTCCCAGAATTTGGCTGCCTCTAAGGACTAGAGTTTAAACTTCTTGTGGACATAATTTGTGCTAATCTAGCACAGTAGCTCATATATAATATGTATTCAAGAAATATTTGCTGAATAAGATGATTTGCAAACTGTCCTTGATTTTGAATCTCTTGTTTTACCCATTCGAAATAACTTTGATTTTGCTATGGTGGATGTAATACCTTCTTCAATCACTTAGAGTCAGACTCATAAACACACAGATATCTATTCAACGATATGTAGCATTATCCTGGTATGGAATGCATCATGCTAGGTAATAACGTAAAGCTGAAAGTGCATAGAAATTTCACATCAAGCATGTGAATTTAGAAATGAGAGAATGATTTGCCTAAGAATAAAGTGGGAAGTCCAGAGCTTTTTTTGGACCTTTTTGGGGTCTTTTTTCTTCCTTTTCTTCCCCTTCTTTCCCTCCCTCCCTTTCTTCTTTTATTCCCCCTTCCCCTTCCCCTCCCTTCTCTTCTCTTCTTTCTCTTTCTTTTTTTGGCAGGATCAACGAGGTAAGTCCCAGGGATTTTAAAAACACCAAGATCTCCTAACTTCTCAGACTGAGAGTCTACTGATGACCTAGCCATGCCCACAGACACACACCTTGTCATCTTCATCAAAGCCAGAAAGGTCTGGTCGACTGGAAGAGACCTATAAGAGATGAATAGTTTTTTTAATGTGATTGATATATTAACAATTTTCTTTTTATTAAAGATACAGAATGTCACAGATATAGTTGAAGCCTGTATGATGTTCTTCTATTCCTCCTTCTTTCTTCCCTCCACAGGAGTAATGACTACCGCAGTTTGGAGTTTCTTATTTCCATGCATGTTTTATATAATTACATGTGTATAGACCCACAAACAATACATAGTATCATTATACACATTTTTATACTCCATATAGTGACATCTTATTATACACGGTCTTCTTCCATAATTGTAACAACTTATTTGTTCCATCCTCCTATTAACAGATATTTAGGCTGCTTTTCATAGCTCACAGCAACCTCAAACTCCTGGCCTCAAGCAATCCTCCTGCCTTGGCCTTCCAAAGTGCTGGGATGATAGGCGTAAGCCACTATGCCTGGCCCTAATTTCTTTGATTCTGTGTATTCTCATCAATAAACATAGTCATTATTTTAGTTTAGGCATTCTTTTTGGTGATAGCTGTATTTAGGTTTTCTATTTCTTCTTAATTCAGTTTTTGTAGAAAATTTACATTTTTTTAAGCTTTTAGATTTATTGGCATAACATTATTCATGGTTCACTCTTATGATATCTAAATCTCTGTTCTCTTTATAGTAATATCCCTTTTATTCAAAATAATATTTGTATATTTTCTCACATTTTCTTTTCTTTCTCAATCAATCTTAACTGGAAGTCAGTTCATTTGACTACAACCTGCTTTTCAACTTTGTCTATTCTTTCTATTATTCTTTTTCTATTTCATATAATTCTGTTATAATATTTATCATTCCTTTATTTGAATTTATTATGTATCTGCTCTAATATTTATTTCCTTCTTTATTTGTATGTATTCTAATTTTCTTTTCCTAACTTAAAAAAATTTTATCCATAAACATTTTTCTATGAATCTCTAAAAGTTAAGGAACTCCCTTTCCCTTTTAAAAAACAACCACAGTACCATTATCACATATTTTAAAAGTAAGTGATTCCTAAATACTATCAAATATGTAGTTGGTACTCAAATGTCTCATACACATTTTCATAGTTTATTTTGAATCAGGATCAAAATAGTTTGTATAATGCAATTGGTTGATATATCCCTTAAGTATCTTTCAATCTGTGAGTTTTCTCTTTTCTTAAAATCTAATGTGTTTATTCAGCTAACAAGGTGCATCTAAAAAAAAATAAATAAATAATAATAAAAAAAAATCTAATGTGTTTGAAATTTAATTTGTTAAAAAACAGGTTTTTTTGCATTTACATTTAACTTGTGGTATAATGGACTTTGGAGACTCAGAAGTGGGGAGGGTGAAAGGGGGTGAGGGATCAAAAATTACCTATCAGGTACAACGTACACTATTCAGGTGATGCGTACACTAAAAACTCTGACTTCACCACTATACAATTCATCCATGTAACAAGAAACCACATGTACATTGTAAATCTATTGAAATAAAAAAAATAAATACATTAATTTGTTTAAAAAACTACTTCATTTTTTCTGTAAAGTTTCCCACAGCCTGGATTTTGCTAATTAAATGACACCTATGGTGTCATTTAACACTTTCCTCTGTAAATATTACTAGTTAGATCTAGAGTCTTGATTAGATTTAGTTTCAAAATTAAACAGTTTTTAGATGACCTCACAGGTAGTTTTTATTTTTTAAGCTAGATGTTTACCTCATTATTTGTTACTCTTCTTAGTGTAAGAGTTATACATTTCCTAATAGTAGTTCTCACTCTCATTTTCTCTACTGTGTAGTATTCTGCTGTATGAATGGAATAATAGGGAATTTAATTAGGGTTAATAATTTCTATCTAAGCACCACTTTAACTGCATCCCTCAAGTATTGATATGCATACCACTTTTATTCTCATTTAGTACTAAATACACTCTAATTTCCATTACGATCTTTTCTTTGATACATGAGTTCATTGGAAGAGTGTTTTGTTTTTTTTTGCCCAGGCTAGAGTGAGTGCCATGGTGTCAGCCTAGCTCACAGCAACCTCAAACTCCTGGGCTCAAGTGATCCTTCTGCCTCAGCCTCCCGAGTAGCTGGGACTACAGGCATGCGCCACCATGCCCAGCTAATTTTTTCTATATATATTAGTTGGCCAATTAATTTCCGCCCGGCAATCCGCCCGCCTTGGCCTCCCACAGTGCTAGGATTACAGGTGTGAGCCACCACGCCCGGCCAGAAGAGTGTTTCTCAATTGACAACTGTACTAGTCTCTTATTATCTACTTCGAATAAATGCACTGTGGTCAGACAGTGTAATTTGTATGATGATGATTACTGGTATCTGCTGGGATTTGCGCTGTAGCCTATTTTAAGACAATTTTTGTGAATGTTCATCATGTTTTTAATAATTTTCTGGCCATTCTGGAGATTAGGAAGGCAAACAATCCTTGGAAGGATCTTACTGTCACTCGGATTCTTCTGGGAAGAGAAGCTTTGAAGTGGTCCATGCACTAACTAACCTGTCCTTTCCCCCCGTGACAGCGTCCCCCTCCTCTCGAAGCATTTTCTGTCAACTGGATTTTCTACCTGAGCTAACTGGTTGAGGAAGACAATCAAAATGGTCAAAGGAAAAGCGAGGGCCTGCACGAGTATCCACGTGGAGTGCCTGGCTCCTTATCACACGGATGGCAGCAGATAAGACCCGTCAGGGCAGCTAGAACAGGCACGTAAACTCACTCAAGAGCAGCCAGCAGTCAGCTAGGAATCCTGGGGCTCTGCTGCCAGGATTCCTAGCTGATTCTACCACCTTTATCGAACCAAACTCAATTTATACCTTACGAAACTTCTTTCGAGGAGATAACCTGATAAACTAAAGGCTCAGTCAATGTAACACACAACTGCGCTCCCTGGTGTCCTTCCCTAGCACAGAGAAGCAGGCTAGACTTTAGGGTGCTGACACCAGGGCCGTATACGCTATTCCCACTAAGTAAACCCCACGCCCCCCATCTCAGTTTCTGAAACGTGTCATAGAAGAGGCATCACATTGGCAGGGTGTACTCACGTTATGAACATTTGGTGTGCTGAGGCTTCTCCGAATGTGCCGAGCTTTGGTGGAGAGTGCTTCTTTGACTGTGACGGCCTACAAATGTATAATAATTTCAAAACAACACTTATTTTTCTTCTGATGATAAAATAGCATATGTTTATTTATAAAAGATTTAGAAAATACAGAAGTAAAGCACACTTCAAGTCCTACACATGCACTCATAAAACTGAAATCTTACTGCACCCACTTATTATTATTTTTTGCTTAACACTCTATCAAAAACATTTTCATAAATAAAACCAGGAAAGCTGCTGAATGAAAGGCATTTATGTTGCGAAAACCTAGAAGAGATGCTTCTAACTATATATCTCACTTGCAAAATGATAATGAAGTTTGATGCTGTTTGTGTTTTACTTATGCAGCAATGTGGGTGGGATTTCCACCAAGGGAAGATTTTTCAGACAGACACCAAACGTATTCCTCCTGGAGCTCAACACACTCTCCCTAATGTGAACTACTGCTCCTATGACATGACATCTCCTGTCCTACAGTTCCACTGCTTAGCAGATTATTTCCATTTGAATGTCTTGCTGTCACCTCAAAGGTTAAGCCAGGTCTAAGTATTATGGAGACAGTAAGAGTCCATGGTTAAGCACGTGGGCTTTGGAGTGAAGCTATTTGGGTTGACACCAACTTTGTACCATTTCCCAGCTGTGTAACCTTGGGCGAGTTAGCGAACTTCTCTCGGCCTCAATGTCCTCATGTGAAAACGGGGATTTCAACATTACTTATCTCAGAGGGTTATCTTGAAGCTTAAATGAAATAATGTATCTAAATTACTCAGGCACAGTGCTTGGCAAGTAGGAAGTAGCAAATAAAAGCTAGCCATTATTTTAATTTTTGTTCCTATTTTGCCATAGTTGTTTCCCTAGTGAGATCGCTACTGAAGTGCTCCTTCTCTGACAGACTTAGAGAAGTGTTTGGGCAATAAATTCATCTTTGTCCACTGGGGGTGAAGGCTGGTGATTTCATCCTCTGGTCCAAATATTCAGTTACTTGCCTGCCGGAGCCGTTCGAGACTCAGAATGTTTTCCACCTGCAGCACGCCACGCGTGTACTTCTCAATGTACGTCTCCCCATCTGACGTGCCTTCGTTTTCACTTCTTGCTGCTAGGAGAGCCAGTGTTTCTCGGTCCTCTATCTCCTCAGTTGCCTACAGGGACAGGCAGGAAATAATAATACTTTCATGTGAACAGTGTTTTCAGGAAAAGTGGCCAGGGTCAGGTGTGGTGGCTCATGCCTCTAATCGTAGCACTCTGGGAGGCTGAGGTGAGGGATCACTTGAGCTCAGAAGTTCGAGATCAGCCTGAGCAGGAGCGAGACTTGGTGTCTACTAAAAACAGAAAATTTAGCCAGGCATGGTGACACACGCCTAGAGTCCCAGCTCCTTGGGAGACTGAGGCAGGAGGATCACTTGAGCCCAGGAGTTGGAGGTTGCAGTGAGCTATGATGATGCCATTGCACTCCAGCTGGGGTGACAGAGCAAGACTCTGTCTCAAAAAAATAAAATAAAATAAAAAATAAAGTGTGGTGAGAAAATGCTTTAGAATTCTGGAGAATGAACCCATTCTGCATTATTTATATTTTGATATTTTAAAAAGTACTATAAATTTTACCTTTGGTATATTGGATACTATTTCATAGGTTACACCACAGGAATAAACTATATTTTTCAATGATATTCTCCTCTTCAAACTCTGTGTGAAACTCTGGTAAAAAAAGAAAGCTGGATTCAGCTATGTAATAAATGTTAAATTATTTAGTATTTTACAAACATTATAAATTACTATGTTTTTGATATATACAACAATCAGCAAAACACAAAGAAAAAACCTGAACCCAGGAATCCCCATCTCCAACCCCAAGAGACACTAATGTCCAGCTGCCATTCAGGAGTTAGACTACAGAATTTGTTCCTATTCCGGGTTTCTGTGGTTGCTTCTCTCTCCCATCTGCCACCTCCTTTCATCTCTCCAGGGTCTAATCAGTCTTTCCAGGGATGTGAGGAGAACACTGGGGAGGATCAGTTTTGCTGACAGCCCCCCTGAGAGGAGATCTGGCAAAGCGGTAGGACAGGATTTATTTGGAGTCTGCATTTTGTGCTGGTTTTGTCACTGACACTTAATCTCTCAGTCTTGGTTTTTCCAGTTTCCAGTCTCTGCTCCACTTTATGCTGGATGGTGGGTCTCCACTCTCCCAGGTGGAAGAGTCCTTTGGCAGATGACATTTACTAACCCTGCCAGCCTCATGCCCCCTATCTTGCAGAAATGAGGATCAGACTGTAACTTGCCCAGTGTGGTCACAGTTTGCATATTCACTGCCTTAGCATCACAACGCACTACTTTGTGACACAGAGAAGGAGAAAACATCGAGCTCCTAGCCACAGTGGCAGAACAGATCGGTTACTACCTGTTTGTTGTAAATATTGGCGGCAATCCGCTTTCGTAACACTAACTCCATCGCAGCCGGGTGACTGAGTTGGACTGTGGTTTTCACAATCAGGTAAATCCTTTCATTCTGTGGTGTGACCCTGTTCAGGTGAACAGAATCATGCACCGAGGAGTCCCAAGAGGCTGTGGCTGAAACCTAGGAGTTGGGCAATGATGGGGAGATAGAAACAAGACACAACTCAGGTGTAGCAGTTTTACATGACACCCTAGAGAAAGAAAATAAATCCAACTCGGTGCAATCCAACAGATTTCTTTCTTTACCTTTTTTGAATAACAACACAAATGTTCTATTTTATTTTTTCAAGTTCCCAAGTCTTCTTCCCCAAAGCAAACCACGGCAGTTTAACAAGATAATCTGATGCCCTTTAAGTGAACCCTGGGGGTTAATTACCTCATCGTCACTGTGCTTTATGATGGGCAGGTAGAAAAACTGGCTGCCATGCTCCTTGGGCAGGATGGAGTTCACACCCGAGGCGTGGGGGCCAACGAGCTGTTCGTTGGCACTGAGGTCATCCGCTAACCAAGTCCGGGGCACAGAAAAAAAAAGTGGGGGGAAAGTCAGTTTTTAAGCAAACACCAAAAATTTTAAAATATGCTTTGTACAAATGAAGGTTTACATATGATACATTTCCGTTTTTTCTTTTATTCCTTATCCTGCAGTTGAAACAGAGACTCTAAGACTCACAATAGCTTTTATTCTTTCAAAGTACAACAATGGGAGCCAAAAAGTTGCCTGGTGAAGCTCTTATAAGATGGAAGGAATATACTCTATATGTAGTCCTAAGAGCAAATGTTTTCACTAAACACACCTTAGAATTTTGCTGCTTTCTGATGTCAATACCTCCTGTAACTTGCTGTTAGTTTTTTGTCCTACTTATGTAACTTACACTAAATTAGAGATTTCAGCAGTTAAATTATCAATTTAGAATCACAGTTCTGATCACTTGGGAGAAATACAAAGATTGTCTTCTTCCTACACCTTGTCTAAATCTGATTCTTCCCAAATCTGCCAGTGGTCATCCAGTCTTTGCTCATATACCTCCAACAACGGGGAACCTTGCATGATGGTGAGTTCCATACAAGGCTTTGAAAAAGTTCTTCACGTGAAGAGACAAAGCCAACCTCCCTGTGTCTTCCATCCATTCATTATTAGTCCTCCCTCTAGAACAGAAGTTTTCAGCTTGTGTTTGGAGGAGTTCTAGGACCCTGTGCGAGGGGAGGGCCTGCCAGGAGCCTGCCTACCCCAAACTCTTCAACTCTGCTGTTATTTTCTACACATGGGGTTCCATTTAATATTTCTTTTGGAAAAGGATTTTATTGCGAAAACACATCATTGTTCTAGGCTTGCCTAGGTTTGACCTAATTGCCATGCTAAAGAACAACCCTTCATGCAGGGTTACAGTGTGGTCATTTCTGGTGTTGAAACTACTAAGGGAGGGGAGCAAAGTTAACTAGTCAGAAATGCAGATCCCTAAGCTCTTGCCAAGTGTAAAGAGCCAGAATCTCCAGGGGTGATTACTTTCCCAGGTAATTTCTATGTCTATTAATGTTTCAAGAGCAACACCTAATGTTCCTAGGTGTAGTTCTCAATCTCTGAGTATGCTCTTTTTTCATTAAATATCTACATCTTTCTTCCAGCGATTTCACATTTCAGGCTATATATATATAATACTTGAATGGAGCAAATACGTCACCTAGATTTGGCATATGAATGATGGGAAAAGTGATTTAACAATCAAAATAATGTGTGAGTCTGAACAGATTACAAACGTTAATTCAATGTGATAATCTCTGGAACGTCGTCTACTTACCATTCAAATCGAGGAAGAGAACTGGTATGTGCGTTTCCATTCCAGGAGGTGGAATCCTAAATTTAACAACAAAATTTAATCATAACAAAATACGTATTTTATATCTTGTTGGATGATAAAACGCCGCAGAGCCGTGGAAGCAGAGGAGAACCACTATGGAGATGCAGGTTCTACTAATGAAATACTTTTACATTTCTTGACTTCCCTGCTAGCATAAACCATGGGAATTACATGACATATAAAAGAACTACCAGTTATATAAATTACATGTAATTAATTGAAACAAAGATTATTTGAAGCCTTTCTAAAAATAATTCTAGCGATAGGGAAAAGGAAAGAGGATGTCGTGGTGACAGAGGCAGGATAAGAGACTAGAGGAAATAAACAACAGGGACAATATTTTAAAAGCTCCAAGGAGAGAAGGAATGATGTGTGAAAGGAGGTAGGGTAGCATGCAGGAGAGTCTGAGCAGTGTTTTATCAAAAAATGGCCCAGCTGCAACACAATCACTTCAGAGTTCTCTTGGAATGAAGAGGAGTTTTTTTTTTTTTTTTTCGCTTTGTTGCCCAGGCTAGAGTGAGTGCCGTGGCGTCAGCCTAGCTCACAGCAACCTCAAACTCCTGGGCTTGAGTGATCCTTCTGCCTCAGCCTCCCGGGTAGCTGGGACTACAGGCATGCGCCACCATGCCCGGCTAATTTTTTTTATATATATATATCAGTTGGCCAATTAATTTCTTTCTATTTATAATAGAGACGGGGTCTCGCTCTTGCTCAGGCTGGTTTTGAACTCCTGACCTTGAGCAATCCGCCCGCCTCGGCCTCCCAAGAGCTAGGATTACAGGCGTGCGCCACAGCGCCCGGCCTGAAGAGGAGTTTTTTAAAATGCAAATTCTTGGCCGGATATGGTGGCTCACACCTGTAATCCTAGCTCTCTGGGAGTCTGAGGCAGGAGGATCGCTTGAGGTCAGGAGTTTGAAACCAGCCTGAACAAGAGCGAGACCCTATCTCTAATAAAAATAGAAAAAATTAGCTGGCCATGGTGGTGGACGCCTGTAGTCCCAGCTACTCGGGAGGCTGAGGCAGGAGGATTGCTTGAGCCCAGGAGGTTGAGGTTTGAGGTTGCTGTGAGATAGGCTAACTCCATGGCACTCTAAGCCCAGGCAACAGAGCAAGACTTTGTCTAAAAAAAAAAAAAACAAGAAAAATGCAAATTCTTATTTAAAAAAAAAAAAAGGGCTGGACATGGTGGCCTACGCCTGAAACCCTAGCACTCAGGGAGGCCGAGGTGGGAGGATCTCTCAAGGTCAGGACTTCGAAACCAGCCTGAGCAAGAGCGAGACCCCGTCTCTACTAAAAATAGAAAGAAATTAGCCAAACAACTAAAAATAGAAAAAAATTAGCCGGGCATGGTGGCACGTGCCTGTAGTCCTAGCTACTCGGGAGGCTGAGGCAGGAGGATGGCTTGAGCCCAGGAGTTTGAGGTTGCTGTGAGCTAGGCTGATGCCACGGCACTATAGCCCTGGCAACAGAGTGAGACTCTGTCTCAAAAATAAATAAATATATAAATGTTGAGTCCTGGGTCCATCCTCCCATCCTTTCTCTTTTCTGTGTCACAATAACTAGGTATGAGGCCCAGGAGTAATGTGTTACAAACATTCACGACCTGAAATTTGAAAACACCTCAAATGAGAGAGACTGAGGAAAGGAAATGAATTATCTTGTTGCAGAACAGAGTAAGCCTGGGAATTTGCTGGCTGTCCATGAGAAGTGCCCAGCAGACACATTGCGTGTGACCCACAGGATTGCAGCACAGCAGCATCTGCAGGGAGAAACGTCGCTTGCAAATTATGTGCCTGCATATTCAGATTTTTTTAGTTTCATAAAACAGACCATGAAATTGATTACATTTCCATTTATCATTAGAGACAAATAGCATCACTAATGTTTCGATGCCTATTCAAAAAAGACTATCTGGGCATGTACATTCTGTGGTCAAAAGGAAATTTGATTTATCTTAAATGCCCAGGACATATTCTTGCAATAAGGATGAGAATGAGAATAAGAAGCAGTAGTATAGTAGCAGTAGAATAAATAAGCAGCAGTAGCAGCTACCAATCAGTGAATGGGCATGAAAGGTATTTGATATACATTATAATATGTAAGAGTATATACTAATACATAGGCATTTTATATACATTATCTCTAATTCTCACAATACCACCAAAAAGGTAGCTCCATTAATAGATTAGGAGTAAAGCCTTAGAGAAGTTAAAGAAATACACCTAAGAGCTGAAGCTGGAAACTAAATCCAGATCCATTTGACAACATAGCCTAGATACCAGGTTGTTTCTTATGAGAACACTTAGGGTTGATTGATCAATCATTATTTATGTGGTGCTTAACGGCTTACTCTGTGCCAGTTACCATACTAAGCAGGTACTAGGGCAAATGAGATATATTTTCTGTGCTCTTCCAGTACACTGTGGAAACATCCTTCTTTCCATCCAAAATAAAAGAATCTCTAAAGATCAGGGAACAATGCCCAAGGTGCTTATGCAGAGGAATGGAGGAGTGTGGTATTGATTACCTGGCCAGGTAATCAATGCTCTCTGGCTTCCTGTGGGAGGAAGCTGCCTGCAGTAGGGAAGGAAAATAGCAAAGGGAGCACTAGAGATGGGTGGCCCTTCCCTGAGCAGCTCAGTTGGCTGGTAGTTACTGTGACAGTCCTGGACAGTCACATGCATAGCTCTTGCCACGGGCAATGTCCCCACAGAAGGAAGCGCAGCCTTACCAGTCGGCAGGTGCCCCGGGGATCCCGCTGCCTGGCGCTGGCACCAGCACTGCGTTCCTTTCCTCCGTCAGCCCCACCCACTGCTCCACAAGCCGGGCTTCCCGCTCCACGTCATCCTCTGTCTTCTCTGCACAACGAAATGAGGGGACCAGTGCCAACAAGAGAAAGCAAAATTCTCAATTTAAAATAAACAGGTTTTCACTCAGTGATAGCCATAAGTGCTTAAACAGCCACAATGTTGCAGAAAAGGGTATGAGGCTTCAAAGTTCAAGCAAGAGCATCCACAGGAGCCGAAAGCAGCTATGACACCAGTTTAAGGTACCATAAGCCAGGAATAGTAGAAAGAGTATTTGGAACAGCAGTTAGAAGGCTCAGTCATTTTACTGGTTCTGTAATTTGGGGAAGTTATTCGGCAGACGATCCTTAGTCTCCTAATCTGTCAAAGAAGGATCATATAAGTCATGTCTACTTCATGCACTTGTTGGGAGGATCAAATGAAATAATGGATGCGCCATTGCTCTATAAAACTGTACACCATGTTATAAAGAGAGGGGATTTAAAAACACCATTTATCTTACCCTGTAAAACCAACTTTATTTTTTTCCCCTTCAGGCTTATTATGATTTTACTTGATATATTTTGAAATTCTCTTACCCGTAACTCAATTCTGGGGCTCCCTGGGTATAGTCAAAGTGAGTTCTCGTTAGCAGTCTGAGCACGAACATAAAGCAACACCACACGATGAGCCAAGATATTTTCCTGAGGGGGAATTTTTGCTAGCTTCTACATGAAATGGATTAACATTCATGATGCGTTCTTTAGTGCAGAACCAACCACAATGAATGGACCATGAAGTCCAGAGGAGAGACTAAGGATTTTAAGTGCAGATTTCTACTCTAGAATCCAAGTGGCCATTGCCAGCATAAGCAAACTGCACCCACCTCAGGGCTGGGTGGCAGCGAGTAGAACTGCAGGGGCCATCCTGAACTAGCTGAGTGCACAGCTATGCCCCAACAGTGGCTGGCCGCTGACCTGCTTGCCCAGTGGTGTGGTTTCAGAAGTGACCATTTAGCTGCTGCAGTAAGTCCTAGGTCCTGGTCCCTGGAGTACCTCTGATCAATATTGGTCATATTTGCATTTATCAAAATAAAATTTGAGTTTGACATTTAATGTCACAGTTTTATGACATAAACCAGGAGTTTTATGAAAACTTGTTACTTTCAAATCTGTAGCCTTCTTAAAACCAAAAATGTACTATATGATTCACTAATGTCTATAATTGTAAGTTCAAAAAACTAAGATACTACTGTCCAACTAGGGGAAGAAAATAGCCCATCACCATTGTGTTGAAGTATTAATAAAAAAGCTACTCGCAGGGCTGGATATGGTGGCTCATTCCTGTAATCCTAACACTCTGGAAGGCTGAGGTGGGAGGATTGCTTGAGCTCAGGAGTTCAAGACCAGCCTCAGTAAGCATAAGGCCCCTGTATCTACTAAAAACAGAAATAAATTAGTTGGACAAGTAAAAAAAAAAAAAAAAAAAAAAAAAAAAAAAAACTTAGCTGGGTGTGGTGGTGCACACCTGTAGTCCCAGCTACTCAGGAGGCTGAGGCAGTAGGATTTCTTGAACCCAGGAGTTTAAGGTTGCTGTGAGCTAGGCTGACACCAGGGTACTCTAGCCCAGGTAACAGAGCAAGACTCTGTCTCAAAATAAATAAATAAATGAATAATAATAAAAAAAGCTACTCCCAGAAAAATACTTTAATCTCACATACCTTTTTTATTGCTGACTTTTTTAATCTGTTCATCCAAGTAGTCTCGGCGTTTAATGAGTGCATCTGACCACCTCTCTCTTACACAATTTAAGTCTTCTTCCTGACATCAAGGAGGGAAAATATTTTCCTGTAGGGTGCATAGACAACTATTTCTTTGTTTCTTCCTTTTTTTTTTCCCAAAAAGATGTTTAAATTGATTAGGAAAATTTTCATTAGGAAAGGCCATTAAACACTACTGTGTAATTTATATGGAAGAAAGCAAAGAGGCCTCAGTAACAACGCATGTTGATCAAGGATGCCACTATCCAGAAATCAGATCCCCAGGATCTCAAAAAGGATAATTATACTTAAAGCAAGACATGCTCAAACTATACCAGCTGTTGAATGATTTTTAATGCATTGTGTGTGTGTGTGTGTGTGTGTGTGTGTGTGTGTGTGTGTGTGCCTGTATGTGTATTTAAATCATGGCTACTCATTGCAGGATTTGTGATTCCAAACAGAAGGACACCATGAACAGAGCCCAAACCATGTCACAACAAATGCAATGGAAAATGACAGGCATTTTCATAATTCAATGGCCTGATAACATATATTTCCTGAAATGCAAAGAACAGGTCAGCAGAGAACTTTTCAAACTTGCCACAGAGATTTTACTTCTAACCACCACCACGAGGCTAACCAAAAATCTCCCATGCAAAAACCCAACATGCAGTCAGCCATGCTTTGAGAAATCCCAGAAGCAGCCGTTGGACTTCACCGTGAATAATGTGGCAGGAAGCGCGCAAACAGCCCCAGGACGTTAGTCAATGGCATTGCTGAAATCCGAGGGACACTGATATTTCCCCTAAAGTTTGTTTTTGTTTATATGGTTTTTTTTTCCTTAGTAAAATTATGAGTAGGGAAAGAAAATCCAACAATTCTATTCAAAATGCTCTTTGACTTGCCTGCTTGTAGCCTAAGCCTTAAGACATTATATTAAGTGTAGATAGACCTAAGGACCTCTGAAGTTTTAACTACAATGTACCCACATTTTACATATAGGAAGGCACCCTGGGAAGACATCCTTTGAAAACTTGGAAAATCAACACAACATTGGGAGCCAATCCCAGTAACCCTTCACCTTGGTTTGCTGCTTTGACCATGACTATGTTACACCTAATCCATGAGAACAGGCCTGTCAGTGTTGACTAGGTAAAATTTTGCATTTGCACATATTTTGAAAACTAGCTAAACAAAACAAAACAAAGTTATGTGCATAAAATGTCTTCAATTTTCCTGTCAGCAAAAGTCTTTTAAAGTAAAATGGCATATTATAGCAATACTAGCCTCTTGGATGTAAGGAGCAAAGTACAGTTTGGCCCTGGAAAGTGTCTACCTAAAAGATTATGAATGGATAGCTGTGCAATTTTTAAGATTACCAATTTTAATACATTGATAATGATCTTGCTTAGCAGTAAGCTAGTAATTCGAGATGGCATAGCAAAAAGGCAGTATCTGGTTACAAATTTTGAACTGACAAGGAAATCTCCAGAAATAGTATTGTACCGAACTGCATATAAAGCAAATCAAAAGCAAGTGAAAAATTGCACATTCTTGCTCTAGGGTCGTCCTCCCTGGCCTCTGCTTTGCAAATGCTGGCAATTAGCAGTAGCTGTGCCCCATGCCACAGGATTGACAGCAGTAGCAATACCTGATAACTATCCATATCATCACCATCCTCATCATCTCTCTGGTAGGAAAAAATAAACACAAAGGACATGCATTTTGTTTCTCAAACAGCACACAGGGAAAATAATTCTTTAAGCTTAACACACACATTACAATGGACAGCTTGCATAACATCAGCATAATAAAACATTTAACTGAAGCTCAAAGAGGTTTAACAGATTTAACTCACTAGTCTGTAATTTAAATAATTTTTTTTATAAAGAAAGCAGTCATTAAAAATAAGAACCCTTAGCTGGTCCAATGGTAGTGTTTTTTTTTTTTTTTTTGAGACAGAGTCTCGCTTTGTTGCCCAGGCTAGAGTGAGTGCCCTGGCATCAGCCTAGCTCACAGCAACCTCAAACTCCTGGGCTCGAGCAATCCTTCTGCCTCAGCCTCCCAAGACGCTGGGACTACAGGCATGTGCCACCATGCCCGGCTAATTTTTTGTATATATATTTTTAGTCGGTCAATTAATTTCTTTCTATTTTTAGTAGAGATGGGGGTCTCGCTCTTGCTCAGGCTGGTTTCGAACTCCTGACCTCGAGCAATCCACCCGCCTTGGCCTCCCAGAGTGCTAAGATTACAGGCATGAGCCACCATGCCCGGCCCGATGGTAGTGGGTTATCAGAACTTATTAACATCAGTGTCACTAAAGTTGGTATACAACTCCTTTCTGCTAAAGTTGACTGGCTTAAAAAAAAAAAAAAGAACTCTCTTAGATGAGGGTAGGAAGCTACATCAAGGGGCCTTGCTCCATTGTTATGCAAACAGACATCTGATTTGTTACTTAAGGATAGCCTATTTGACAGAGATTTGGGACGGGCTTAGGAAGACAGAATGGCAACACCAAAGGGACTTTGGAGATTCTCTTGCCCAATCTTGGTTTCAGTGATGAGGCAACTGAACTCCTGAAGGATAAAATGCTTGAACCCAAGGGTCACACAGATAGTAGCAGGTCAGGACCCACAGCCAGGCCTTTAGTGTTCAGCTGCCTTCCTTGCAACACACCACCCTCATGGGTGACGCTATCGCAGGGGAAAACCTGAGAAACCTCCGTACATACAAGGTCTGGTACTACACTGTTGCCATAGAAGCACAGTGCGCTATTTTGCACATACGGATCTCTCAGTATCCTCTAGGGACCATAACAATCACTTGACAAAATCACAACTGTCCCATACACAAGGCAACATTTTACAATAATTACATGAAGTGACAATTTTGGTAAAAACATTTGGAAAAACTAGGTCAGCCTGCTGAAAACAAAAGGGTTTTGGTTGAGACAATTTTCCTTAGAAACAATAATCTGGAAACCCTCCATTTAGATTTATGACTAAATTTGTTTAGTCATAGAAAAGACATGAATCTCCTTTTTAAAAAAGTGCTTTAAAATATAGTTAAAATTATTTTCATATCTACATTTCAAAAAACACTTTTTTAAAAAAGTTTGGGGACTATAATTATGAGTTATATGACTGACTTGCTAAATAAAAGCCCAACCCTGAAGTAATTTATCTTGAATTAATGTTCCCTATTAATGTAAAAGAACCAATAGCTCTAATGTATCACTAATTTTTTTTTTTTTTAGACAGAGTCTCACTTTGTTGCCCAGCCTAGAGTGCCGTGGCCTAGCTCACAGCAACCTTAAACTCCTGGGCTCAAACAACCCTACTGCCTCAGCCTCCTGAGTATCTGGGACTACAGGCATGTGCCACCACGCCTGGCTAATTTTTTCTATATATTAGTTGGCCAATTAATTTGTTTCTATTTATAGTAGAGACGGGGTCTCGCTCTTGCTCAGGCTGGTTTCAAACTCCTGACCTCAAGCAATCAGCCCGCCTCAGCCTCCCAGAGTGTTAGGATTACAGGCGTGAGCCACCTCACCCAGCCTATCACTAATTTTTATACTAAGGAAGTACTTCCATTAACTGAAAACTGGCCCGAGCTTTCATGATGTAAAACTGTTGCGACATCAGCATATTCTGTCCTGGCTTCAGCTACTGCATTAGAATAATTCTATTATGTCAACAACAAAATTACTAGAAATGACTTTAAGTATGGCAGCAAAGAAAAAAAATTGTCATAGTTCAAATTTGTATGGCTGGTACTATACTCTAAAAGAAGCAATCACAGCGCCCGGCCGGAAAGGCTAATATTTTAAGGCTCACATTTTGACAAAAATCAGTTTTAACCCAGAAGTAGAATTGTTTTAAAAATCCAAATATTTGGACAATTATTAAGTCTACCTCATCATTTTGGAGAGAAAAAAAAGAAACTCAAGTTTAAATTATCCAGTTAAGGTAACCATTTAGTAAAGCCAACTTAGACTAAAGGACCCAGGCCTCTTGACTCCAAGTCCAGTCCTCTCTTCATGCCAAGCCCTGCAGCTGCCCAGAAGTTGACGGCTAAGGGGGCGGGGGGACTGAACTTGTATGAGAACACCTACGATCCCGTTTCCTGCTCCATGGGCTGCAGACACACAAGGAAAAGACTGATGGAGAAGCCTCCTAAACCACAGCAGCCCCAGTCCTTGCATCTTCACTCATACACTGAATGAAGTCTGGACAGATGTTGCGAGCTGGAGGTAATTTTGGTCTTGAAGAGGGAAGGCTGTGTCTGACCAAGCGGTGCTTTCCTTAAAGCCCAATAGCCTGTGCACTGATTTTTAGCTTTCATTTTTAGCTTTGCCTGAATGTCATGGGAGTCAAAAGGAAACTGAGACAGATGTGGAATCACTCTCAAGAGTGGCTAGGCTTATGCCCAGACTCCACAAAGCAGAAATGCTTTCTGTCTGTCACGAAGGGGAAAGGGAAGTGTTTCCATCACAAATGGCAGTGAGGGAGCCGGGGCTGACAGTCTGATTCTTCCCCATATCCTATTTCCTATCTGGCAGTAAACCGGAGACTCTGTGAGGAACATACATCCTTTTGGGCCACTGCAGGACAGGTTCCTAATCTTAAAGATTATTTTTGCAGACTACCGAATAGTTCTGACTGATAATATGAACATCAATTCTTAGAGGTTTTCATCTTTTTAGATGAGAACTTTACATAAAGTTTAGGAATAGGAGAGTATAATGGACAAAAATGATCATGAGGACAACTTTTAATTGGGGGAAAAAATAGCAAAGCTTTCAACAAGCTGGTTAATTATGACAGTGTATGGAAACAATTTTACGATACAAATAAAACTGGATCAAGCCAAGCAGCAATGCCAAATATCCAACATATTTTGGCATAAAGTGAAACCTGCCTAAAGTAAATGAATACTATAGCATTAAGATGTTATGTGTTTATAAATAAAATTATTATTAATCAACACTAAGTAAACATAATATTTTAAAGCTAGAAAAAAGGCAATGGATGGAAATATGAATTGGAGGAATACACATGGTTAATGCAAGGAGTTTCTGTTCTATTTCCAAAGAGGTCCTCACCAAAGATCATTAACTCCTTCACTTCTGCATTAACCAAGCTTTGTTCAAGACCATTTCAAGTCTGTTTGTCTTACCTGGTAACTGTCCAGCCCTCTTTGGAGTTTGGTGGACCTGGCAGTTACGCAGCCGATGGATACTGACGAGATGGCTTCAACCATCAGCGGCAGTGTCCCTGAATGCTGCACAGGTTTTACCGTGACTTGCACTCTACGCGAATGACCCTGCAGAGGGGAGCAGGGGAATGTGGGTGCCAGGAATGATAATGGGGAGGGTTGGGAGAAGGAGATAAAGGAAGTGAAGAGGATTAGGGAACAAAGATACAGATGGTTAGAAAATTCCCAGAAACTGTAACAGTGGGACAGAGAGAAGACACACACACAAAAACCCAGCACAAACCTAGTACCTGTCTAAGTTGAAAGATGCCTCCTGTGTTGACATCTTTTGCCTGATGAAGTTCCACTGCAGCATATTCCCCTAACTCATTCAACTCTAATATGGAGATCCACATTTCTATTCTTCGAGTTACTTCGTTCCACCTGCAAAAACACATCCCAACAAGCAGCGATGTCATCGTCCAGGGACACTATCAGTAATAGTAATAAGTTACCATTCACTGGGCACTTACTATGAGCTAGGCACTGCACCATGTATGTTGCATAAATGATTTCCTTATTTAACTCTCAAAACAACCCTAACTATTAGTTTATTTATTTTATTGAGTTATAACTTACGTTCAGTGAAATACCCAAATCTTTTTTTTTTTTTTTTTTGAGACAGAATCTCGCTTTGTTGCCTAGGCTAGAATGAGTGCCGTGGCATCAGCCTAGCTCACAGCAACCTCAAACTCCTGGGCTCAAGCAATCCTTCTGCCTCAGCCTCCCAAGTGGCTGGGACTACAGGCATGCGCCACCATGCCCGGCTAATTTTTTCTATATATATTATTTGGCCAATTAATTTCTTTCTATTTATAGTAGAGACGGGGTCTCGCTCTTGCTCAGGCTGGTTTCGAACTCCTGACCTCGAGCAATCTGCCCGCCTCGGCCGCCCCGAGAGCTAGGATTACAGGCGTGAGCCACCGCGCCCGGCCAGAAATACCCAAATCTTGAGCATAGAGTTCAGTGACTTTTGACAACCACACCCACCTGTGTTACCCACCCCACCCCCCTCAGTTTGTTCATATCCCTCCCCATTCAATTTCCACACTCTGGTAGTAGCTGTGTAGCTCAGAGATTAGGTTTGCCTGTTCTGGAACGTCATATAAATGGAATCACGCAGAATGTACTATTTTGTATCTGGCTTCTTTCATTCAGCATAATGTTCCTGAGAATCATCTAAATGAGTATCAATGGTTCTTTTCTTTTTTAATGCTCAGTAATATTCTATTCATAAATAATACTGATGATTTGTTTATCCATTCGCCCAATGAAGGACATCTGGGTTGTCTGTGGTTTGGGGATACCACGAATAAAACTGCCATGAACATTGTGTACAACTCTGTTTGTGGACTTAAGTTTTCATTTCTCTTGAGTAAATACCTAGGAGTAAATACTTGCGTCAAAGAAGAGGTGAAATGATCAACTTTACAAAAAACTGCCAGTTTTCCCCCAGATTGTGGCTTGCCCATTCATTTTCAGAATGATGTCTTTTGGTGAGCACATGCTTTTAATTTTGATTAAGTCTAACTTTTAAAAAAAATTTTTAAATTTTTTGAGACAGAGTCTCACTTTGTTGCCCAAGCTAGAGTGCTATGGCGTCAGCCTAGCTCACAGCAACCTCAAACTCCTGGGCTCAAGCAATCCTTCTGCCTCAGCCTCCTGAGTAGCTGGGACTACAGGCATGCGCCATCATGCCCAGCTTATTTTTTCTATATATTTTTAGCTGTCCAACTAATTTCTATTTTTAGTAGAGACAGGGTCTCGCTCTTGCTCAGGCTGGTCTGGAACTCCTGAGCTCAAACGATCCACCCGCCTCGGCCTCCCAGAGTGCTAGGATTACAGGCATGAGCCACCACGCCTGGCCTTGATTAAGTCTAACTTAAACATTTTTTTTCTTCTATGGTTAGTGCTTTCTGTGGCTCTTCTGAGAATATGTGACTATCTCAAAACTGTATTTTCTTTCATAAGCTTTTGCATTTAAGGTTAAGATCAATATCAAATTAACATTTGTGTACAGTGTGAAGATCAAAAAAATTTTTTTTCCATACAGATAGGCAGTTGTCTCATATCATTTGTTGCTAGGACTTACCTTTCCCTATTGAATTTCTCTGGTGTCTGGTAGTTTCTGTTATCAGTCTCATTTTCCAAAGGAGAAAACAGGCTCAGAGAGATTAAGTAACCTGTCCAAAGTAACAGCAGCAGTCCCAGGGTTCAAAGCCTGTATTCTGAACTGTCTAAGTGCTAATCTTGACCCTGTGTCTAAAGCTCATAGCCAAGTACAAACCTATCATGTAGTGTTCTTGTCTTAGCATGAAGAGAATCAACCTCCCACATGGAGCTACCATTTCCAGCACACCGGTGGCCCCATACTTCAATTGCGAGTGCTCCATCTGAAATGAACTCCAGAAATTCTTCTGTTACATTCACCACATAGTCCTGGGATAATCGGGAGGAAGGAAAGTGCAATAAGAATTATGTATGTACATGATATACTTTATGCTCGTAACTGATGTGTCTGGAGAATTGGTATTGAATTTATAGCATCAGCAGAACAGAAAATGTGATGTATTTTATGCATGTCAATAAAGGAATGACCTGTTCTTACTCTACAGAAAATGGAAATTAGAAGTCAAGCACCCTTTGTGTTCCAAAAATAGGGTCTCAAACATTTTGTAATTTTCATTGAAATTATTAGGAGGCTTGGAGCTATTAGATAATCTATCTTCCAATACTCTATTTAATATAGCACTGAATAAATGATACAAGTTGTCAATGGATGAGTGATCAACTGATAGCTCTGTTGGTAACTGATTTATTCTTCTTTAATAAAGTTGCATAAACCAGTGGAGGGGAAAAAGAACTATGCATCAAAGAGCCCATGAAATTTCCTTTTGACCTTTCAACTGTATGTAGATTTACTTTGGGGTATATTATTCTGATGTCAACCTTAAACTCATCTCTTATGTTTTACAGGAAGCCATAAAGAATCACAGAATATAAGATCTGGAAGGGAAATTCCGAAGTAATTTAATTCAACCCCCTTTTTCCACAAAGAGGGGAAGTGATGAAAGCAACTTGTCCAAAGTCACATGGCTAGTTAGTTGCAGAGCTGAATCCACATTCTCTTAGGCTTGATTCTCGGTCCCACACTACCATTCTGACTTTTAACTGGCATGGACTAATTTGGCAAATCATTCTTTGCCATGGCTTAGGAGACTAAGAATAGAGTTAAATTTTGTATGATTATCTTCATGATATTACGTTTTTCTCTTAAGCTCTCCCGCCCCAATTCCTCATTCTAAAACACAAAGAGATGACTGTGAGGAACGAATAGTGCATTGTCAGAACAACGCAGTAGGGAAGGAAGCAAGCTGATTTTCTTTCCATCAGCCTCTCAGTGGAACCTCAGGTGGAAGATGTCTCTATGCCTTTAAGTTCAAGAAACAGCTGTGCTATATTGATTAACCTTACACTCTCTATTTTTTTACTTATTTTATTTGGAGACAGACCCAGAATTTTAGAAGGAGAAGAAATGTACAGATCAAGTATAATCTATACATTTTAAGAGATGAAAAAACTCCAAGGTCACACAGTGAACCCAGAGGCTCTGGGACTAGTATTCATTAAAACAGCTACTAAAGAGGATGCACTTAAAATTCAGATTTCATCCTTGTAAATAAGCAGCTTTGTGGATTCACAAGAAGATGGAAAATACTTAAAAGAATAGTCAGAGATAAAAAAAAACGATTAATAAAGATTTTGAGAAACAGATTGGCAAATACAGGTAAAGAAATGTAGGCTGGCTGTTTTCAGAAAAAGAAATACTTGACAGCCTTTACCTATGTGAAATTTTATAGGTGGTGATATGGATTTGTTTCCTAAGCATAGAATCAGAAAGAGTAGGCACAATTTGCCAAAGAACGGGTCTTGAGTATCTTTGAAGGATTATTCAAAGAAGAACAAAATTACAGAGGGAAGGGAGCTGGTCATTCAGAAATGACTTGCTGGCAGTCCCATGTGAAAGCCAAGAGGGTAGGTGATGTCTCAAGGTAAGTCCAACCACATTCACCACAAATTCACCTTTCTCATTTTATATTTTCTTAAAAACTCATACGATATGTTAGAATGCTATGTTATATTCAAAATAATGAGAAATCTCTTCAGCAACTTACATGTTAAGATGCCCACAATTCTGCAGTATGTACAATGTGATCTCATTTTTGTATAAAATTTTTAAAGGTAGGTGTGCATGACATAAAAGCATGTATTTATGTCCATTGTCCATTTGTGTGTGTGTATAAATATGTTTATCACACACATATGAAAGTCGTAGAGCATAGTAAATAACTTATTAAAATATGTAATCAACAAACTGTCATTGGTGGGTTATACCTCTGGGGAATAAGATTGCTGGTAGAGATCTTTCAGATTTTATTTTAAATATTTCTAAATTATTTGAATTTGTAATGAAGTACATTTTTGATGTTAAAAGGTCTAATAAACATATTATGCTTAAAATAATTCTCATGGAGAAAATAGATTTTTGAACTGTCTAACTCTGCTGCCCCCGACGTAGCTCGCTTTGTAACGGTGTCTGTACCTTACAGTGGGAGAAGGTCACCGTGTACTGGGCATCCTTGGACTGTGGTGAAGGCACCTCTGGGTCCACCACGGGGGCAGCCACGGTCGACTCGCACTGGTCCCAGAACGTATATTGACAGAAGACGAAATTTGAAAGGTTTAAGGGCAGCCCGGTTGCCTCTTTAATTTTTACCTGAAGAAATTTAAAAAATGCAAATAAAATCCCCAAAAAGAAAACATTAAACGTTCTTTTCTTATTTCAGCCACCTCAAATTTAAGAGTAAACAATGAAATAAATAAATCAGTCATCCATTTGACATCTGAAAATATTTGACACCATGTCAACTAAGGGCCCTGTGTACAACGAAACCTGCACCATAGTTCTATAACTACAAGTATATAAACTTGGTGACGAATGCACACATCCCTGTAAAATCTTCCTAATGACCAATTTATGATATAGATGCGAATTTTCCTAGAAAAACATAATCCACTAAGCAACATATGCTTCTCAAGTGCCAAATATATAAATGCTTTTGCAATTTGACACAACTATCACTAGAAAGTGTGCGCTAAAAAAAGTACTGCCCATCATTGTATCTGTTGTCATAAAATTCAATTTTTATTACGCTGGATGAAAACCTCTCTTAAAAGATTTTCTGTAAAAATGGTTTTGCATGGAAAAGGTCATTGACATGAGCCTCCCCGTCACTGTCCCCTCACCCGGCATGTCAGTTTTTTGACTCGGTGAATGATTTCCCCACTGCTGTCTACGACTTCAAGGCTCCCACTTTCACTGGAGTTCTCCGAAGAGTCATCCTCCACCACACGCTCCGGAACAGCTCCTGTAACGCGCCTCACTTCCACATGGAGACGCCCTGCAACCTGGGTCAAGGAATGGGAACACCTTGGAGTTAAAAGCATCCCGTGGGCAGCACTGACCAGAGACAGAAGCGCACTTGGGGTGGCAGGGCTGCTGCTTGGTCATCTTCAGCATTGGGAGTTCCACCACCACCAGAGCTGGTCCATTCTACCGCTTGCCCCTGCAATCATCCTGCCTTGCTTTGAGCCGAATTTGCCTCCCTGAAACTACCTTCTGGAGTCATTCTCAGTCTCACCCTTCTTCTACAGGACAGCCTAGAAACAGCTTAAAGGCAGCTATCATATTCTACCTGGAGCCATCTATTTTCCATGTCTGTTTGTATATTCACTCACATGTGTTTAATCAAATGCTCCATTCATTTATTCATTTGATCAAACAGCTAGCCTTGTGGGGTAGTGAGATAAAGACACGGGCTCTGCTGTCAGGGAACTCACAAAGGGAGAAAGAGGTGTAAAAACCCAGTAACATCCAGTGTAGACCAGCTGCTATAACAGAGATACATGCAGGCTGTTATGTGACAAATCTATCCACTCAACAAGTATTTACCAAGAACCAACTGTGCTAAGCAGTACATTTACAACAGCGAGCCAAACAGACGAGGTCCCTGGGCTTATGAAGCTTCTATTCTTGGGAGTAGAGAATGGGTATGCAATTCAGACTGTGGCTGGGAGCAGGATGAAAAGAGCTCTCTGAGGTGGTGCCATCAGCCCTATTCCATGAGGAACAGTGTGTACAAAGCCTTATAGATATGAGGAACCAGTTCTTATAAAACTGTTTTTTATTCACTCTCACTATTGTGGTAGCTCTCTGGATAGGAGCCAGTTTAACAGTATTTCCCTTAAAGCTGGTTGCACAGAACTGAATTAGAGTATAAGAATTATCCTGAAACTTGCATTTTGGAATGCTTTAATTGCCTGAGTTATCCTTCATCACACAGTTTAAGGTTGTAATGACTATGGTTTTGAAAGTCACACATGTTCCGGTCATGCTGCTGTCATCTCAAATAGTGAAGGTGATTTTTTTTTTCTTTTTCTTTTTCTTTTTTTTGAAACTGAGTCTCGCTTTGTTGCCCAGGCTAGAGTGAGTGCCATGGCGTCAGCTCAGCTCACAGCAACCTCAAACTCCTGGGTTCAAGCAATCCTCCTGCCTCAGGCTCCTGAATAGCTGGGACTACAGGCATGCACCACCATGCCCGGCTAATGTTTTCTGTATATATTAGCTGGCCAATTAATTTCTTTCTATTTTTAGTAGAGACGGGGGTCTCACTCTTGCTCAGGCTGGTCTCGAACTCCTGACCTCAAGCAATCTGCCCGCCTCGGCCTCCCAGAGTGCTAGGATTACAGGCGTGAGCCACCGTGCCTGGCCTGTGAAGGTGATTTTTAAAGGTAGCTCAGACCCACCTTCCACACAGCAACTGGCACTGATACCAAGGACCTGAGAGAAATTAACTGATGATATCTGACAAGTAAGACATATATGGAGGAAGTAGGAAGAGGAAAGAAAAAAGGAAATAAGAGAAATCGGTTAGAACATAGTGGTTTTTGCCTGGGCGTGGTGGCTGATCCGTGTAATCCTAGCATTCTGGGAGCCCGAGGTAAGAGGATCGCTTGAAGTCAGGAGTTTGAGACCAGCCCGAGCAAGAATGAGAGCCCATCTCTACTAAAAATATAAAAATTAGCCTGGTGTGGTGGTGTGTGCCTGTAGTCCCAGCTACTCAGGAGGCTGAGGCAGGAGGATCACTTGAGCCCAGGAGTTTCAGGTTGCTGTGAGCTATGATGATGCCACAGCACTCACTCTAGCCTGGGCATCAGAGTGAGACTCTGTCTCAAAAAAAAAAAAAAAAAAAAGTGGCCCTTGAGATTTTTTTTTAATGCTTTTGGAGAATCTAATATATTTTAATATAATTTCAGGGGATTCATGAAATACCTAAAGCACACCACAGATGCAATCCTCCCGCCTCGGCCTCCTAGAGTGCTAGGATTACAGGCATGAGACACTGCACCCGACAGGCCAATATATTTAAATAACTGAAGGACTGTGAGTTTAAAAGGAGGGTGACCGTGGGTTATTTAAGCTTGGTTTCTCTGAATACTTTCAATTTCAAACAATCTTCCTAAGTTCTTTCTTGTAAAGACTATTTGGGGGCCAGGAAGGAACTAGAACATACCACAAAGGTATGAAATTACCTTTAAAAAGAGAAATCAATACAGGGCACAGAGGTGAATCTGATTCCCAAAATATTTTCAATATGATTAAAACAAAGAAAAAATGTGTAAATCACAAAAACATGTTCTAATAATCCTTTAAGAGCATGACTTCATTTTCATTGCTTCTACTAATAATATCAATTATTGGTAGAGGAAAAGAATGCAGACCCTGACTATTTGCCCTAGTTTCTTGATATACCTTAAGAACATAGCTTAAATTGAATGAAAAATAAAAAACAACAAAAAACCTTGAGCCACCCTCATTCTCAGAGGCTGGCCTAGCCTTACCTCCCCCTGCTGGCTGATAATAGGAACTGCATACTGAAGTTGCACATCACAGAAGAGGCATTCCAAGAACACATTCGCCACCCCAATTAGGTTGTGATTCTCTTGGGCTTCATAGAAAGGGTCACCCCGTTTCCCGTAGAGTCTTTTTTCCTGAGTAGTAGGAGGGGCCAGTGGGTGGGAAAGTGGGAAACAAAACATCAATCTAAGTCATACTATTTAAAACTAGCACTTAAAAAAATTTCAAACAAGGCATCTACCCAAGCAAGCAAGAAGTAAAATTAGAATGTCACATAAATAAAACAAAATTAAGCTCACTAGGAGACTAGTTTGTTAGCGAACTAAGTGACACTTGTGTGGAGGACTTTTCTTCAGGTCCTGTCTTGACTTCCCCAGCACCCCTCAACCTGTAGCCCTTTTCATTTCATTCCCTTTGCCAAGTCTTCTTTTCCATCACTAATGTCCAAGGATGGATTATGTACACTAAAACTACTCTTAGCAATCTACCCAGCCACGATCATAGCTGGAGGCACATGAACATACGCTAATGAATACAAAATTCCTGTTGGCTTCAGCCAAGGGGCCAATTTTTCACATCACTGACAAAACAGCATAAATTTACTTGATTCACTTCATTTCACTTGAAATATAGTAAAAATGAAGCCAAACAAGAATCTGAATTTACGTTCTCTTCATTTAGTTTCCATCTGTGCAAAGATCACATGTTATATTTCTGATCCAACTTAGCACTTCTTTCAAGATCACTTTTATTTCATTTTCCTAATATAAATGTATCACGGGCACATCTGTGTGTGTGTGTGCACGCGCGAGCACACATGTTCTCATGGTCAAATCACTTATGCTCTCTGCTTTTAATATAACCAAATCTCAACAGTTTCTCTTTTACCTCAGGAACTTTTTCCTTCCATTCTTGATAAAGTTCTCTCATATCAATTAATTTATTCTCCAGCTTTTCAATGGTCCAAACTTGGGTACTCTTCCCTTTCCTCCTCACTTGGATAGCTGGCTCACTCACTATTGCACCTCTCTGCATGAGGAAGAAAAACAAATAAAATAAACGTTCTTACAACTTCTTTTTGGATTGCTAAAGCAATATATACGATAGTAAAGTAGTTTAAGTTTGCAAAACACACAAAGGTATACAAAAGAAGATCAAATTCTATCACCTAGAGAATATTCTGGTTTCTTTTCTATACAGCTTCCATGCAGACTCATGCACACACTTTTTGTTTTATCACAGTCAGGACCAAATAAAAATAAAATTTCATATCCAAATCCTCTCCCCAGTTTTTACATTCTTCTTGTGTCGTTAAATATTTTTCATAAACAAGATTTTTTTTTTTAATGGCAACAATAGCAATCCATCCTGTGGATTTATCACACATTTGACTAATTGTCCTATTGTTCAACTTCATGGCTGTCTCAAATTTTTGCTAGTGTAAAGGCCATTATAATAGGCATCCGTCCTTGTATATAAATCTCTATGTCTACACACTTAGAATAAATTTCTCAAAGGGGAACTACTTAGTCAAAAGACTGATAAGATAGTCCCTGTCTCACTTTGTAGCTTGCTTGCTGGAGTACAAAATGAATGGATGAAAAACTGTTTTCTTCAAAGTTTATCCCCACAGGAAAAATTCTTAAAGTTGAAGTGACAGGAAATTTCCAAATGCCTGCAAAGAGTTCTTCTGTGTATGTAAAGATAGGTATCATTAAAAAGTCTTCCTTTCTTGTGGAATTCATTCTTTAAAAAGTACTATAACAAACATATCCCCCATTTCAGAAAGAGGTATTTATATGTAAGGAAAAGCAAGCAGGATTATGTACATATATTTCCGGTTTCACTGTTTTAAAGAAAGCATTTAAATTAACAAGTCTTTCAGCCACCAAAATTCTGCATATCTAAGGGCATGATTTATATAGTTTTCCTACCCAAGGAGGTGTACAGAGGAAGCCTTAAAAGAATAAACACCTCTAGGTCATGTCAGGATCGCCTCATGGATGCTTTGGGATTTTAGTATTAGATTTCATTTTATAATACAGTATTAACTATTGGACACCCTGTTCTCACTTTCTTTAAGAACATTTTTACCTTTCTGTTGGCACTGAGGTTTGCAGCAGGGATCTGAAGAGTCACTTGGTAATCAGTAAGTTTGCTCATTTCTTCAGCTAAGAAGTTTGCTTCCCTCACCAAGGTATTAGCTTTCACTAGCTGCTCTCGCAGCTTTGCCAGGCTCTGTCGGAAGAGTTCATCCCTGTGGAGTCGCAGAAAAGGAAAGGAGAAAATCTGAAAGAAAACTGCAATCCTGTTTCTAAGTCAGTAGTCCTATTAGAAAATGGCAGAAAACTCCTTTCAGGCAATATTTTCCAATCTATTTCACCATACCACTTACCTTTCCCTCTGCCCACAGATGGGCTATCTGCTGAGAACCACTGATGGGGAGTGAATTGTGGAGGGACTTAACTGAAAACCAGGCTTTATTTTTATTTATTTATTTTTGGAGATAGCATTTTGCTCTGTTGCTTGGGCATGAGTACAGTAGCATGATCATAGCTCACTGTAGCTTCAAACTCCTGGGCTCAAGAATCCTCCTACCCTAGCCTCCTGGACACCACTCCCAGCTAAATTTTCTCTCTATATATTTTGTAGAGATGGAGTCTCACTAAGTTGTTCAGGCTGATCTTGGACTCTTGACCTCAAAAGTGGTCCTCATACCTCGGCCTCCCAAAGTGCTAGGATTACAGGTATGACCCACTGTGCCCAATCAACCAGGTTCTAAATTATGTAACATTTGAAAACAAATTTTGATATGAGGATGTAAAAAACCAATAAAGGAACAGTTTGGGAACAAGAAATGATGATTATGACTTTTGTGTGCTATATGAGGGTAGGCTGGGGAGGGGCTGGCAGGTTGGCAGAGAGACCTGGAGTTAGGAGAAGAAAGTGTTTGCCGTGAGTTTTTCAGTCGGTAAAAGTCATACTGTGATAAGGTACTTCTGTAGCAGCAGGAATTCTTTTTTTCAACTCAATATATAATAGCACTTGCTGACAAAAAGCAACACCCTGACCTGGTCAAAGCTATTATATGTTCTCTGAGCTGCATGTCTTTAGCCTCCATAGCATTTGCCATAGTTATAACTTTTTGTTTATTTGTATAATTATCCGACTCTTATCTGATGTCTCCCCTACTAGGCTGTAAGTGACCCTGGGGCAGGCACCATGTCTTTTTTGCTTGCACTGCACTTAGTTCCTGGCCAATGCATGGCCCATCAAAAGATATTTAAAAAAAAAAAAAAGGCTCACTGAATGAATGAAAAGGGAAAGAGTCCTTCTGGATTTCACACTTGAATCTGGGTTCAAAGGCGCCCAGTCTAGCGATTGCTCTGTGCCTTAGCTTCTCTTTTCTACCATTTACATGCAGACTGCCCTTACTTCACAGGAAAATGATGAGTTTGGAACATCCAAATCCCTACTCCTTCCTTGTCACTGTACAGGGGACAGAGGCGGCACACTGAGAGGAGGCTAATGTAAAGACGATGGTTTTTAAAAATGATATCACTGTTTTTCCAGGCACCCAGGCTTGGATTTGTTCAGTCTCTTCTCTCTTCCACAATCTCCAAAAAGAAAGCCTGTTGACTTTTCCTTTAAAGTATCTCCTAAATCTCTCTCTTCTGTTTTCTCCTAAACCTTGCTCTCGTCCCTCAAACCCTCCCAAACATCTCATACCACCCAGGCTCTTGGTCCCTCACACCCTCCCAACAATCTCATACCATACAGGCTCTTCTTGCTCCATGGCAAGATAGAGTTCATCAACCACTGCCTTCCTCAGGCCACTGCTCAGCTCAAGACCTTGCAGGGCTCCGTGTCTCCCGCAGGATAAATCCCAGATACTCCCGGCTGTAGGCCTCCCACATGCCCTATCTGATAGTTTGGGACTTAATTCTCCCTACTCCTCTAGAAATCACCTTCTAGACTACACAAAACAGTTCTTTTGCTACACCCCAATACATCTTACTCTTCTCCATTGCCTCCCATCTGTTCATGGCAACGCACCCAAAATGCCCTCCTGCCTTCTCTCTGCCTACCAGACTCCACCTTTCTTCTTCTTCTTTTTTTTGAGACAGAGTCTCACTCTGTTGTCCGGGCTAGAGTGCCGTGGCATCAGCCTAGCTCATAGCAACCTCAAACTCCTGGGCTCAAGCCATCCTCCTGCCTCAGCCTCCCGAGTAGCTGGGACTACAGGCACGTGCCACCATACCTGGCTAATTTTTTTCTATTTTTAGTTGTTTGGCTAATTTCTTTCTATTTATAGTAGAGACGGGTCTCGCTCTTGCTCAGGCTGGTCTTGAACCCCTGAGCTCAAACAATCCACCCACCTTGGCCTCCCAGAGTGCTAGGATTACAGGCGTGAGCCACCGCACCCAGCCAGACTCCACCTTTCAGATGCACTTTAAGTCCTGCCTCCTCCCTGAAAATCTATGCAGAAGACTCCACTGGGGTCTCAGCCGTCACCGAACAACCACCAAACTTACTGTGCCCTCTGCCCACTTGGCAATCCCACACTTGCTGGCCCTTTCAACATAGTCACACAATCAATACACAATATTTACTAAGCGCCTACCATGTGACAGCATTGTTCTAGGCACTGGGGGTGACTTCAATGAATAAAATGGATTCCTTGTCCCCTGGTACTTAATTTCCAGGGGAGGAGATAAACAACAAATGAATAACCATATAATTATAACACTTCCTATCGTTGAATGAAACTGCTATTTACTATTCTGATTTAATTTTTCACTTATTTATATCTTGTTCCACACTGCAGCCTAAGTATATAGGGAGAATAAAAGACATCTGTAGCTTTCTTTATAATTCTTAGCTCTTCACACCACTTGATGCTCAGCCCATCAACATTTATGTAGGTAAGAATCTTTCATTATTTCACAACCCATCAACATTTACTTACATAATTGTCTCAGCTTCTTTATAACCACCATCATTAATGGCATCTTAATTTTATCCAGCAACAGAAATCTGATGAAATCAACATTGAAACTACCTTATCTCTTTGAATGACATTCTCAAAATATTTCCCTCTATTCTTTTAAAACTTATTTTTATATTTTAGAGACAGGTTTCACTATGTTGCCTAGGCTGGAGTGCAGTGGCTATTCACAGGTATGATCACAGCTCGCTGTAGGGTAGAACTCCTGGGCTCAAACAATACTACTGCCTCAGGCTCCTGAGTAACTAGGACTGCAGGCATGTGCCACCACACCCAGCTTCTAACCTTTTTTTTTTTTTTTAAGAATTTAAGCCCCAAATAGAATCAATCTGGAATTAAAGTAAAACAATATTTTTAGCTATTTAACTAAAAACACTATAATTAAAAGTAACTCACATTTTCTTTTCTTTTTTTTTTTTTTTGAGACAGAGTTTCGCTCTCTTGCCCGGGCTAGAGTGCTGTGGCATCAGCCTAGCTCACAGCAACCTCAAACTCATGGGCTCAAGCCATCCTCCTGCCTCAGCCTCCCGAGTAGCTGGGACTACAGGTGTGCACCACCATGCCTGGCTAATATTTTCTATTTTTAGTAGAAATGAGGTCTCGCTCTTGCTCAGGCTGGTCTCAAACTCCTAGGCTCACATGATCCTCCCACCTTGGCCTCCCAGAGTGCTAGGATTACAGGTGTGAGCCACCATGCCTCATTGCAACCCACCTTTTCTTTTTTTTTTTTTTTTTTTTTTTTTTGAGACAGAGTCTCACTTTGTTGTCCAGGCTAGAGTGAGTGCCGTGGCGTCAGCCTAGCTCACAGCAACCTCAAACTCCTGGGCTTGAGTGATCCTTCTGCCTCAGCCTCCCGAGTAGCTGGGACTACAGGCATGTGCCACCATGCCCGGCTAATTTTTTATATATATATCAGTTGGCCAATTAATTTCTTTCTATTTATAGTAGAGACGGGGTCTCGCTCTTGCTCAGGCTGGTTTTGAACTCCTGGCCTTGAGCAATCCACCCGCCTCGGCCTCCCAAGAGCTAGGATTACAGGCGTGAGCCACAGCGCCCGGCCCATCCCACCTTTTCTATCAGATACTTTTGCTTTTATTGAAATAGAAAGGATGTAAGTGGATACAATTACACCAATTACCTTCAACAATTGTTGCTTAAAGCCACCTGCTCATAGTAAATGTAGAAAAGGTAGCTCCTCAGAAAAAACACCATCTGATAATCTTTGTTTTTCCCAGGCATAATAAAGTATAAAGCAGAACATACTATAAGCATGATAAATCTTTATACTTCAGTATCCAGAAAAATGAGCAGGTAGGTCCTGAGGAAAATGTAATCAACTCATTTCTCTGTATTTAGCACAAACAAGTGTATTACTACCAAGAGCCTTTTATTTTTTTATTTTATTTTATTTTTTTTTTGAGACAGAGTCTCGCTTTGTTTCCCAGGCTAGAGTGAGTGCCGTGGCGGCAGCCTAGCTCACAGCAACCTCAAACTCCTGGGCTCAAGCAATCCTACTGCCTCAGCCTCCCAAGTAGCTGGGACTACAGGTATGTGCCACCATGCTCGGCTAATTTTTTTTCAATATATATTGGTTGGCCAATTAATTTCTTTCTGTTTATAGTAGAGACGGGGTCTCGCTCTTGCTCAGGCTGGTTTCAAACTCCTGACCTCGAGCAATCCGCCCGCCTCAGCCTCCCAGAGTGCTAGGATTACAGGCGTGAGCCACCGCGCCCGGCTCCAAGAGCCTTTTAATGTGGGGTAGAGCTCCCCTTTCTCCTCTTGGGGGTCACCTCTCCTGCATGTGGTTCACGTTCAGCCTATCACTGCTAGTGATAGATGCAATGTGATGTACGAGTTAGGGAAGGAGCTATAGAGTCAGCCTGCCATGGCTTCAATCCTGCTGCCCAATGTACCAGCTAAATGACCTTGGGTAAGTCAGTTAACCTCTTGGCCTCAGTTTCCTCGTGTGTAAAATGGGAGTGAACATGGTAGCAGTTGTGAAGATGAGAGGAATATATGTAAAGCACTTAGTGCTTGGCATATGGTAAATGTTCCATAAATGTCAGGTGCTACTTTTATTACTATTGTTAATTATTTTTATAACAGAGGTTATTAGTGGGACTGTAAATAGACCTGGGTTCAAACTCTGGCTTTTTTACTCACTAGATGGATGATTATGGCAGGACACTTAAACTGATTGCCCAATCCACAAGACAGGGATAAGAGTTTCTAGGGCAGAGTACTGCTGGGAGTGTTAAATAAAATTAGGGCCAAGTCTAGACTGTGGTAAGAACGTGGCAAAAGTTATTGCTAACTTATCGTCCTTATTGTGGTGGTTATTATTATTACCACCTTCGAAAGTTTTGATATAAATATTGGAAAGTATAAACCTTAAAAATTCACATTTAGTAGATTTCTTAGCACAGAAGTTGTATTTAAATAGAAAAGTATGAGAAATAAAAAATAAGAAAAAAAGCTTTTTTCTGTTAAAGAATTATTCAAACTTTCTCTATTTCAATACTTACCAGTCTAAGCCTTTTAACTTGGCACTTTTTAACAGCTGACATTACAGTAAACACACTTAGGGGTGACAGTATCTTTGAAAGGAAAATCCAAGTGCTAACAAATCAGACATGGAACTAAGACTTCCTTCTCCATTGGGTTTGTCCCCCTTTGACATGCTTCACGAGTCCTTCCCCAAAGCCCCCTGGCCCTGGAGCCTGGACTCTGGGCCGCCCAGTCCCCGCTCTTACCTCTCTTCTGCCCACTGGGTCACCTTCTGCTGCGCCGTCTGGCTGCTGTAGGCCAGGCGGTCGGGGCCGCTGCTCTGCGGCTGCCTTTCCGGGGAGAGCTGCTGGCGGAGTTGCTCCAGCTCCCGCTCATACATGAGCCGCTGCTCCTCCAGGGCACTTCTCTTTTCTTCTAGGTATTGTTTCTCCAGGACCTGAACCACATTTTGAACTGGGTCTGGTGAGCCAAGAGACAAGGCAAGGTGTCTTCAGGGGCGGCTGGGACAAGCACTCACGCCAGGGATTGCAGCCTGTCAGGGATTCTTCCAGCAAGAACCATCTCCTGCCCCAGGACCTAGCCTGTCAACATGCTTTCTGAGAGAGGCCCGAGGGGCCTCATCTGAAGAAATCCTCTTAATTTCCTCTTTACTAGCATTTTAGATAAGTGCCCATATGTAAACATCCTCCACATCCACTATGTTACTACTTTCTTCAATTTGATGAGCTCATCCTAATGTTCAGATCGATCGTTAATCTACTAGCAGCAGATGATGGAGAAGGGCAGTTGATCCTGTCAACTGAGGAGAAGAAAAACTCCACGAAATCTAGGACGACTCCAAAGACAGAAACACATGAGATTTGATCTTTCTTTACAGTAGTGATTTCTATGCCCACTTAGCATCGGATAGAGTAGATGACAAAGGGCTTATGATTTTCATCACAAACCTTATTACTCTTGAATTTCTCTAAGGTGGGAGGAAACATACAGATCACAGCATATTTTAAAAAATATTGAGGATACTGTCTAACAATTTCTTAGGTGCTAATATCTAAAAGGGCAATTCGGTTATAAAAAATAACAAAAACCTGCTTCTGACATCTTCTTGGTATGGATGTAGAGCTCACTACCACACATGTGGGCAAACAGGTAGAGCCATACTAATAGGTCTTACTCCCAGCAGCCACTCTGATGACAGTGGTGGTTGTGCTGTAGTCAGGACATGACTCTAAATAGCACTCTGGCTGGGCAGGACGTTAGCCTGGTAATGACCAATGAGCTGGTTGCCACAGAGAAAGATTAAGGCTCTGGCCACATGTACAAATGAGAAAATTACTGACATCACTGAGTGAGTAGGCTGTAGGGATACGGTATGTTAAACAATTTAGATGACAGAAAAGAAGATCAGCATCATACTAAATACGTCAGACAAGTACATGGGACTGAGAGGAGATGCATTCTCAGACCAGCCTGGGACACAACTTCCTCCTTGCACATTCACACGTTTGCCTGCTATTCAGTGCTGTTTGTGCTATATTCCCACACACTGGCTCTCAGCTTAACTTCCAGGAAGGAAGTTGGAATTAAAGTGACTCAGAAGGAATTTTTATATAACCTGATGACAGCTATTGACTGACTTTTCCAAAATACCCTATCATTTTGCGAAATAAACATGTGAATTGTTCTAATTTTCTTCTACATTAGCAGTGAGCAAAAAAGACAACACGTTAGCTTTCAAAAATAAGGTTAAATAATACAAAAAAAGGAAGTAATTTTAAAGAATCACAAGATATGCCAAGTACAGGTGAGTTGTTTTAATAAAAATGACAACCACAATGGCAACAATCACTCTACTAGCTACTGGTTACCTCTCAGGCAGAGGTACTATACCCTTTGCATGCATTACCTCATGAAAGCTTTACAACAAACCTAAGGGGGTGATTTTAAAGATGAGGAAATTGGGGCTGAGGAAATTGGGGCCTAGGTAGCCGACCTAAGATCACAGAGCTATTATAATAAGTGACAGAGCCAGGTTTTGAACTCAGATACCTAATTGGCTGGGGTAGGACATTAGTAATAAACTGATGTAATATTCTTACGACACCAATTTTTTGCTTACAAGTAGTGCTCTGTGAAAGAGTAGTTACTTTAAAAAAATGTTGTTCTGTGCTGATATAAAAATTTAAAATTCAGCATGTTTTCAAAGAAGTGGTTTTCTTCATAGAATCCTGACATAGAGGCCCTAAAATATATCACTGAAGAAGCTGACAGAAAATGAACTAAAAATACAACAAAAATCCCAAACCAAAAAAACAAAAAACAAATAAAAATCTTCTTACACAAAGGCAAATCATGGGTAAAAAAAAATCTCCATACAGTGATAATTTATGTATTCCACAGCATTAGAACCTCTGACTTGGCTCTACAACTTCTGAGGAAAACATGAGAAACATGGTAAACTTTTCTGAGAGAGTCTAAATCGTAAGATCTAGAGAAGAAAAGTTCTCTCAGAATTTTTTAAAAAATCTATGTCTCAAGCAGAATATAGACTCTGGGTTTAAACAAGAAAGGACAGCGTGTGTGCCATCCAGCTAGTGTTGACATGGAGCCTGATTTTCAAGGGTCCCAACTGTCCTAAGTTCATGTTTATGAATCTTTTGTAGAGAAACTGGGAAACACCATTTTATAAAGTTGCATTACAGGGTTTTTGCTAAGAGATGCTGGGTATGATATTTAATCCACATTTCCATTTCTGCTTGTTAGTCAATGATGCAGAAACTCACGTGGTCCCAGCGGCTGAGGCCAAGAGGCTCTCAATTCCAGGGTTCCATACCAGCGCGGAGGCTGCGTGCCTGAGGCTATTTAAACTGCGCTAGCAGCTGCCATGACACAGTGCTGCCACTACCCACCAGGCGTCGTCAGTGGCCACAGATCAAAGTGCAGACATGAAAGAGAGAACAACTCAATGCATTCTTCCTTCCCCTGAACCTCCCACTGTACAACTGTATTGGCCCCACCCCGGAGACTCTCAGATGTGCCCTTGCTACTTGCAGCCCTGGTGGAAGCCTGGGCTGCGTTTTGGTTTCATTTCAGATGCAAACACCAGTCTTGAAACACCTGTGTCACAGACATCTTTTTTTTTTTTTTTCTTTTTTTCAGAGATGGGGTAGCACTTTGTTACCCAGATTGGAGCACAGTGGTGCGATCATACCTCACTGTAAACCTGGAATTTCTGGACTCAGCCTCCCAAGTAGCTGGGACTGCAGGTGCTCACCACCATGCCCAGCTCATTTTTAAATTTTTTGTATAGATGGGGTCTTGCTATGTTGCCCAGGGTGCTCTTGATCTCTTGGCCTCAAGCAGTCCTCCCACCTCTACCTCGCAAGGTGCAGGGATTACAGGCGTGAGCCACAGCACTTGGACCTCACAGACATCTTTGATAACATTTTCTTTTCAAATCAATTAACCAGTTTTGAGCCTTGACCATTACACCCAGCATATTTTTAAATAGATTATCCAATTCAGCAAGTCACTCTGACTCTAAGATGTAGCCCAGGACAGAAGCCAAAGATTGTTTGGCCTATTCTCAAATAACCAAGCAAGTATTAGGATACTGTCCAGTCTTATTTTTTCCCTGAACACTTTCCTCCCTCTTGAAGGAATTGTCTTAAACCTCTGTGAGCTAGGTGTCTAAGATCAAGCTACCAAAGAGATAAGTATTTTAGGAAGAGAGAGGGGACCACATTGACTTTGGGCATAGCACCTTCTCTTCTTTACTAGTTTTTTCTTTACTTAGTAGGTAACCATGAAATCAGCTCAAGCTGACCTCTCGTCCCCAGAGCGGAAAAGAGAGAATGGCGGTTAGTGGTGCTGGTAGTGGTGTTGGTAGGAGGGTATTTATCTTAGAAAAAAACTTAGAATTAATTCACACCAAAAAGTGCAAAGCACTGAATTGAGGAGAAGTAGATCCTTAGGGAAAAAAGAATCTTTTGATGCCAGATGGAATAAACTGGCTCTACGACCCTTCACCAGCCCCTTAACTGGTCTTTAAAGCTACCACTGGCATTGGGAAAAGAGATGAATGTCTGATTCCTATTTTGAACTCTTGGGAAGAAGGCTTTATTGTCCACAGATACTAGGTTTCCTTTTACTTCTAATTTAAATGAATAGAGTTTTAGGATCAGTATTTACTCTAGAGACTCAAAAATGCATTATTCTGATCTATTACTTAGGTGAATATATATCTGAAAACATTAATACTCCTATCCTGAACTGCTCTGTTGTTAACAGTAACAAAGCCATCAGCAACAGTAGTAATAATACCAATAATATTTTTGTAGTGTTTTTGGGAGTACAGAGAAAAGAAGAGCTGTCAGATTTTAACCACTGGGAAGGTAATGAAATGGGGAGGGAGGAGTCATAATTCAAAAGGGACATTCCTCAATCAAGAATTCAGAGTATTTTCATCAGGCGGAAAACTTCAGCTTCTTCCCGATCATGTTAGTTAGGTTTTGCCAAAGCATGTAGCACAAGCATCGGTCAGCAGCACTGCCCCAAACCAGTCAAGCTACCTCATGCTAATGCCAATCAGTTAAAAACCTTTATCCCAGTGTTTGTGGAGGAGCTTCGTCTGAAACCACATGAGAGGGAAGAGGATCTTCAAATAAGACCACCACGGGGACGACCACCAGGCAGACAGGCTTATTATCGGGAAGCCACCTAGCAGAGGTGAATTGCAGTGAACACTGTGTGGCCAGCACTTGCATCAGAGCATGTTTGTATGCCTCAGAGGAAGGCTCCATCAGAAGTGGGTAAGGGGTGGGCAAGAGGGAAACATTACTTTCATATAGACAACCCCAACTCTGGAGAGCAAGGCCTGATTTGGGATACAAACGAGTAACACATGTTGACACCATGCACAAGGCCACTGATGAATCTAATTGGTTTGGCTAGGAGGATGTGAGGAATTAACAAATGCTTACTAAATACTCAAGTTAATTCTGTATAAGAAGTTAATTGGATAAAATCACAAATCTGTGGTCTGGGATGGATAAATGATGAAATTGATACCACATGGAAACTCTGCAGAGTTAGAATACAAATGTCCAGAATTCTATAAGCTTATCTGAAGAAATGAGCTCTCTCCAAATGGGCATTCCTCCACCTGGACTTTGGAGGCTACACCCTCCTGCCACACCCTGCCACAACATGTATCTACTCAGGCTTTTGAAGGATCACTCACAGGGGACTTGTTGCTCAGGCTTGTTGTTAAATGACCCATTAATGTGATTCTGATGTCTGAACATCACTTTGGAATGTCTTTGGGGATTCTTTCCAACTGCTGGGCCAGGGGCAGACTGGGCTGACGCTTGATTTCTCACTACGGTTCACCCTGCACTAACTACAGTGTCAAAAGGCCCAGTGACTAATCGTAATACCATACTCTTACTGTTTAAAGAGAGAAATAACCAAACTTCTTCATAAAGTTATTTTTTCTCCATTTTTTTTTTTTGTGGTTCTATACTCTTTTTTTTTTTTTTTTTTTTTGAGACAGAGTCTTGCTTTGTTGCCCTGGCTAGAGTTAGAGCATCAGCCTAACTCACAGCAACCTCAAATTCCTGGGCTCAAGCGATCCTCCTGCTTCAGCCTCCCGAGTAGCAGGGACTACAGGCATGCGCCAATGAGCCCAGCTAATTTCTTCTATATATTTTTAGTTGGCCAATCAACTTCTTTCTATTTATAGTAGAGAAAGGGTCTCGCTCTTGCTCAGGCTGGTTTTGAACTCCTTGCCTTGAGCAATCCGCCCGACTCGGCCTCCCAGAGTGCTAGGATTACAGGCCTGAGCCACCACGCCCAGCCAATACTCTTGAAATAAATACATTACACCTTTTCTTTTTCAGTCTAGTATTTTATGCTTCGTTTTTGTAATTTAAAAAAAGAGGTCCCTGGCCGGGCGCTGTGGCTCACGCCTGTAATCCTAGCTCTTGGGAGGCCGAGGCAGGCGGATTGCTCAAGGTCAGGAGTTCAAAACCAGCCTGAGCAAGAGCGAGACCCCGTCTCTACTATAAATAGAAAGAAATTAATTGGCCAACTGATATATATATAAAAAATTAGCCGGGCATGGTGGCGCATGCCTGTAGTCCCAGCTACCCGGGAGGCTGAGGCAGAAGGATCACTCGAGCCCAGGAGTTTGAGTTTGCTGTGAGCTAGGCTGACGCCACAGCACTCACTCTAGCCTGGGCAACAAAGTGAGACTCTGTCTCAAAAAAAAAAAAGAGGTCCCTAAGACTAAAAATTCATCAGTAGGGATCAATGAAAAGGTCAAAATCTTTATTCCTGCAATAAAGTCCCGAATTTGCTATGCCAGAGATCTGATGATAATTCTCTCACCACGTGCTCACTCTGGCAGCACATATATCGAAGTCCCCTCTCAATTTTCAAATTCTCCCAGAGAGGCTAATTCAAAGAGGAAACTGAGAAAGCCAATGGTTAGGGAAGAGCTCAACTGTGAAAAACAAAATGTTCTCCCAGCCCCCTGTCAGGGAGAAGCCACTTGTCTTAGGGTCCTCAGGGTGCTGGAAGTCCTCCCTGGTTCAAGCTGGGGACCCTCAGGTGCCCCAAGAGCAGATGAATGGGAAGGTGAGGTTGGATACAGCCTACAAACTAACTTTCTCAGGTGCCCCAACTTTATCCTTGTGAAACAGTTGTAGTCCCAGAAATGCTGTCTTGTGCCTGGTAATGGGAACTTTAACGCCTGGCTTCTTAGTCCAGGGAACCAAGTCTAGGAATTAGAAGACTGGGAGATGGGAAAAGAAAGGGGCAGATTTATACAATAGCAAGCAAGGAAAGAATCTGGCTTGCATTTTACTGAATGCATGAAGATGTGTATAAGCACAGAGGAAGAAAGAAAAAGTGAAGGAATGTGGGCTTTTAGATACAGAAATGAAGAATGTTAATATAAACATTGCAAATCTTCTGGAAAGAGAGATCTGGAATTAATGTGCTAAGGAGAATTACTTCTTCAGAGATCTGAGACAGCCTGGCATGTAAGTCAAGGAAACAGCCTAGAAAGCATTTCATTTTTGGTACCATTTTTGTAAATGTTACCGGGGCTTATTAAATAAGTCTCTTTTAGGGTATAATTTCCCACTGAGTTGATAGTAAAATATTGTGACTTTTATTATTCCATTAAATTCTATTTGAAATTCCTGGATTCACATTCTCTTGGGGATTTTCACGCTCTTGAGGATTCAGAAACGACAGGCTCAATAATGGAAAATTTGATAAGGAGTTCTGTGAAAATCATTCAGTACTCCGGGACCACAGAAATGTTACCACAACTGGCTCAAGAAAAGAACCACTCACTTCCTGGTTACACCTGAAGGAGAAGACCCCCTTCCCACCTCCCACCCTCCTATCTCTTCATTAGCTCTTTCCTGATGGCCTTTTGAAGGAATTAGCAATTTTATGTGTCTAAAACTCAGAATGACACTTAATATGTGCTTATCCCTCACTGATGGCGAGGGGATGAGGAACTGTCCAAGACGCTGGAATGCGGAGTTCGGGTCTTACCGTTGCTATTCAGCGTTTTCATAATCACTTCCATCTGTGCAAACTCATAGTTATAGTCCGGTTCGGAGGAAGCCTCACTGGCCGCATCCAGGTCATGCTCTGGTGGCCCCGTGTCCTTTTCAAAGTCTTTCAACCAATCTCGACGTTTCCTCTTAGGTAAATTAATTCTGTGGGGTTTTTCATCATTAGATAAAATCACATTTAAACAGATCAAATGTAAACAGTTTACATTTAAACAGATAACAGAAAAAATGTATGTGAAAGCATTAGAGAATATAAAGATGTTACCTAAAAAAGTGGTTATTTCCCCATAGGATTCTATCACCATGCCACAGCTGTGTGGTGCTGCACACAAGCGTGCCGTTTACACAGGATCTGAAAGAATATGAGGGAAGATGTCAGGTGAATGGGAAAAAGCACAAGACCTAGAACCTGGCATCCAGAGAAATAAGTGAGGGAACCTTCCCTTACTAGATATACTCCACCTAATCACTGAAGAAGGAATAACAGCATTTGTAACCATTATCAAAGCATATGGTCTAAATGATGATGACCTAGAGTTGCCAACGCCACACCCCTAGACCGACAACCCAATACGATGTGATCCTGATGGAGACAGAAAGCACCGCTTATGGCTATTCTTATCAAAATGTGGGCTGAACTTGACCAAGCTTCCATATCTAAATACCAATTTAGGAAATACAGAGAACATGGAAGTGGAAGATGTTAAATGATGCCACAGGATGAAGTGAGAAAATCCTGACTATGGGAAACTCTAGGAGCAACAAACTAGGTGTCTTCAACAAATAAAATGCAAGGAGAAAGAGAGAAAAACAGAGAGAGAGAGAGAGGCAGAGACAGACAGACAGACAGACAGACAGACACACACACACACACAGAGGAAGGGGAAGGGGAAACCCATGTTAAAAGAGACTTAAGAGACGTATTAAAAAACAACAATGGTAGAATCTCATTTGGGTCCTAATTTCAAGAAATAACTGAAAAAGAATACTGATGAGCCAACTGGGGAAATCTGAACACTGATCGAATGCATGATGATTAGTAAGGAATTACTATTATTTAAGGTGTGTTGGTATTGAAGCTATATTTAAGAATCTTCATATTTTAGAGATGCACACTGAAATATTTATAGAAATAATGTGATAATATCTGGAATTTCCTTTAAAATAACCTGGAGGGGAGGGAGGAGGAGATGTGGAAAGCATATTAGGAGGGAGGAAGAGATGTGGAAACATATTAGGAGCTGAGGAAGAGATGTGGAAAGCATATTAAAAAAAAACAAAATTGGCTGGGCGTGGTGGCTCACGCCTGTAATCCTAGCACTCTGGGAGGCCAAGGCAGACGCATCACTCAAGGTCAGGAGTTCGAAACCAGCCTGAGCAAGAGCAAGACCCAGTCTCTACTAAAAACAGCAAGAAATTAATTGACCAACTAAAAATATATAGGAAAAAAAATTAGTCAGGCATGGTGACGCATGCCAGTAGTCCCAGCTACTCGGGAGGCTGAGACAGAAGGACCACTTGAGCCCAGGCATTTGAGGTTGCTGTGAGCTAGGCTGACGCCATGGCACTCTAGCCTGGGCAACAGAGTGAGACTCTGACTCAAAAAAACACAAAAAACCAAAAAACAAAAAAACCAAAATTATCTATGAGGTGCCTATTTTTGAAACTGGATGATGGATACATGGGGGTCATTATATTTATTATATGTTTGAAATTTCTCATAATAAAAACTTGAGGACAAACATAAAAAGAAGACTGGGTTTAAATCCTAAAAAGCTATCAAACAAGCAGAAATAGACAATTTGGGGAAGAAGAGACAGCTCTGCCCACCCATTTATTTTATTTTATTTTATTTTTTTTTAAATAAAAATACATTTATTATTTTATGTCCTCAAATGCCTGTTATCAAAACCATTTTCTATGTCACTTTTTTAAGTGTTAAAGTTTTCTCCACAGAAGTCTTAATTTTCTTTGTTAATTCCTAAATACCTTAAATTTTTTATTAAGAGGTACTTATTTTATTAATTTTCTTTATTACTGGTATTGAGAAATGCTATTAATTGTGTTGATTATGTAGCTTGAAAATGTGCTGAAATGTCATTCTAAAAGTTTGATTTTGTTAGTTTTCCTAAATAATCATCTCATCTTCAAAAATCTCTTTTACCCTCTCCTATGCCTGTTTTTATACCTCTTACTATGTCTGGACTGTTGAATTATGTTAAAACTAATGGTGGTGATGATTTTTCCTCAAATTTGGACTGAAAGTCCCTTTTTAAAACCCCAGACATAAAGACTGGAAGTAAAATGTAAGTTTATAACCTTCTGTTATCAACAGTGGATGAACCCAAAAGCCACTGTCCCTCTTTTAAAAAGTCCAAGACAGCTCTGGGAAGAGAGAAGTTTGGAGTCTCATTGGCTAAAGGACTAGGAAGACTTCTCCCCAGAGAGGATCATGAGGCTGATTTTGTAATGCAGAGCTATATGTGGAAAATTCTAGTTATTACAACATTTCCATGGAAATCAAAGAGATAAAGACCCAGACATTTGGGTTAAAAATCATAGAAAAGAAAAGAGTCATATACAAGAGGCAAGAAGATCTCTCTTCTAACTGGTCTGGTATTCATTAGTACTTTGATCAGAGTAATCCAAAGTCTACCATATTGGAAGTATTCTGGAATTCAAGGTTTTCTCTTAGACTTTAATATTCAAAGCTTTGGCTTGTCCTACTAGACCAGGCTTGCCTAGGAGATAGAGCTACAGCTGTGACAGCAAGGGTGCTGATAGAGGAACCCTATTCTCCTAGCTGGGACCTTGTGGGTGAGAGATACTGATATAGACAGTGGAAGTAACAGGATATCTCATTTTCATCAGGAAAACTGTACACTTCCATGATTTGGCCTATGTAGTAAGAATCAGGGAACAAAGCAGGAACAGAGGCCACCAGCCTCTCCAACTGAAGATCCTGCATTTGGAAATCACTTGTGGGACTCTCAGTGAAGGTACACCCACATGCCCAATTAGAAGGATCCAAAGACTGAGGTGCAACGTAGCTACAGAAACCTGAAACCACAGGAAATAAAGAGTAAGGATCGGTGAATATTCTAGATGAAGTGGGCATATTTGTCGAAAGAATCTGGTTTGGTTGCTTTGATGACTGCTGTTGCTGCTGTTGCTGCTGCTGCTGCTGCCGCTGCTTCCATTTGAATCGTCTGTTCCTGAACCAAACCTTCACTGTTATCTCTGGTAGGTTGAGTTCCAAAGCTAGTTCCTTCTGGGTATTTTTATTTGGGAACATGGTCTGGCCAAACAGAGCCTCCAACTTTTTATACTGTTCTTGAGTGAATATGGTACGTTCCTGGTGTTTCTTTGATGTTGTGGGCCTAGCTGGATCCTGAGGTAACATCAAGTTCATGTTGGAATCATTCATGTTGATAGAAGGTCTGGCTGGGGACTCTCTGGGGTTGTTCTCTTCATCGGAGGTTCTGAAATCTCAGGTGGAAGGCCTGTCAGGAATTCCCTTGGAGTGCCCATTTTCAATCCTGCTTGGTCTGTCTCTCTGGAAATGCAGTCTCTTTAGTATTATTTTGTTTTATTTTATTTTGAGATGGAGTCTTGCTCTGTCACCTGGGCTAGAGTGCCATGGTGTCAGCCTAGCTCACAGCAACCTTCAACTCCTGGGCTAAAGTGATTCTCTTGCCTCAGCCTCCCGAGTAGCTGGGACTACAGGTGCATGCCACCACATCTGGCTAATGTTTTCTATTTTTTTTTTAATTTTTAAAAAGAAAATAATTTACAATTTTTTTTTCTCTTTTTTCTTAATCTCACGCCATTGACATTTGGGTGTTTTCTATTTTTAGTAGAAATGTGGTCTCGCTCTTCCTCAGGCTTGAACTCCTGAAGTCAAATGGTCCTCCCGCCTCAGCTTCCCAGAGTGTTAGGATTACAGGCGTAAGCCATGGTGCCCGGACTCTGCCCATTCTTGATATATTGTATATATCACACCCTACATGACGTGCACTGGCTTCTCATGCATCGTGAACTTGTCTGAAAATAAGCCTTGAAGGAGAAGCAACTCCACCTAGTGGACATTTAGATGTGGTCTTTCAATAGTGCAGCTTTCTTATACTGCAACTTCGCTGCAGCTTATAGGTAAGCAATGGGCTGTGAAGGCAGTGTGCTGGATAACCCTCTGCAAAAGATTTTATAGGGTTTCCTGCTTATTAATAGCTCTCTCATCAACTGATCCTTTGATGCAGTTAAAGCATAATCACTGTGACTTTTTATTAGGGTGGAGGAAAGATCCTCCACAATTTTTAGTGCTGGCAACTTTAATCTTTTCATAAATGTTTCCTCTACTTAATAATAATAAAAAAGATTTTCTAGTATTTATTTTTTAGAAGCAGGGTCTTGTTCTGTCGCCCAGGCTGAAGTACAGTAGGGCTACCACAGCTCACTGAAGCCTCAAACTCCTGGGCTCAGGTGATCCTCCTGCCTCAACCTCCCAAGTGGCTGAGACTACAAATGTGCACCACTACATCTGGCTAATTTTTTACTTTTTTGTAGAGACAGGGTCTTAAGAAGTTACCCAGGCCGATCTCGAACTACTGGTAATCCTCCTGCCTCAGGCTCCCAAAGTGCTTTACCAGCATGAGCTAGTGCCCAGCCAATTTTTTATATTTAAAAACAAAATAAAACATTGGAAGTGGAAGGAGATAATTAATTAATTGAAGATTACTCTGCTAACAGACTGTCAGGTGAAGTTTGATGGAGAAATATAATGAATATTATTTTGAGTTCTAATTTTCCAATAAGTTGCTTTTCTCACTCCCATTACCAGACTCCTGATCTTTACGAGACTCTAAAGCTTAGCTATGGAATAAGTGGAACTAGAACACATATGTGAAAATAATCACACCTTCAAAGTGATATTTCAACACTGGTAACTTAAGTTTTTACTTATAATGACAGAGCTGGTGCTCTTACATGTTGCAAACATCCCTCCCTACAATCAGAAAGCATGTCCCTCTGAAGGCCCAGTGCATCCTGAACTTTCATATAACTGAAAGCAAACAGAAGGAGGCTGCTTTCTCCTTCTGAGAATAAGGCACACAAGATATATTGCCACCATTTCCTTTTCTTACCTTGCGTTTTCTTTTGGAGTAAGAGTGACGTCTCCATCAGATGCGATGTCAATCTCACAGTGCTCAGGCTGAATTCCTATGCCGAAGAGCTGGATATCCTGAGAGGTATCTGCACCCACCCTGGTGTGATCCTAGTAATGGATTATTAAAAAAGCAAAACCCACATGATAAGTAAATCAACAAAAATTTATCACTAACAATAACCCAACAGCATATGCACAAAAATATTAAATTAAATATTAAATCAGAGATGTTAGACATCTGAAGCATTAGAAGTCAAAAGCTTACCATAACACACTAAATTAAAAAAAAAAAGTTTAAACACTACCGAAAAAGACCCTGATCAACAGTGATTAGATATTATTTTAAAACATGGTAACTGGACTTGACAGTAGAATACCTTGAGTTCCAATTTTGATTAGACCACTTACTATTTAAGTAACCACAGGCAAGTCATTTCACTCTCTGAGCCTCAGTTTCGTTTTCAGCAACACCAGGACAATATTATCTATTTGACATACTTAACAAAATTCTTTCAAAGATCATCTAACAGTGAAAGTGTTTTGAAAACAGTTATATAAATTTAAGAATCACTAAAAAGCAGTTTCATGGAAAGTCATATTTTAAAATGTTAAAAATATTTGAGTTTTTAACACCAATATTACACAGAGTACTGAAGCCTGTGGGTTATATGATGTACAAACTAGTGTGATTTTACGTACCTCGAACCTCAGAGACTACTGATGATTCAGTCAATGATTGCCCTCTTTGTTTTAACTATGATAACAATATCCAACAGAGAAAGCATAAAGCTTGGTCTTTCAAAGTTAAGATTTTAGAAACAATTCCTTACCCCTTTCTTAATCATTGCCTACATGAATAGATCTCAAGTCTGTTAGTGGATTTTCAATATGTCAGGGCTATTTGCACCGTATTTATGTCTCAGGAAACTGCAGAAGACAAAGGATCATAGAAGACTTAGGCTCCTTCCTTCAATTCTAGCTTATTCTTCATTGCATATTATATATTTACTAGGCAGCTCAGAATCCTTAACAAGACACCTAACCTTTCACAAGTAGATAATACTTCTGCATTTAGAGATTTGGGTGTGTGGACAGTGTATGGTTATCAAGGTCCCCAGTCCTTGATAACCTTCATGTCCATAACTCAGAAAGAAAGAGTGTGTATATGTGAGATCAGAAATGCCCTGATGGTCAGTTGAATGCCCTATGTCTGCCACGATGCCCTACATCAATGCCCTACGTCAGTCAGGCACCCTATTCCAAACAGATATCTTATTCTTCACTTAACAAAATAAGCCAGTAGTTCTAAAAGTGTGGTCTGAGAACCCTTGGGGTCTTTGAAAACCTTTCAGGAGGTCTATGAGGTGGAAACTACTTTAATAAAAACGCTAAGATATTGTTGGCCTTTGTTCTCTCATTTTATCATACACGTACACTGGAGTTTTCCAGAGGCTACATGATATGTGATGATGTTGTAGCTCTGAAGACCAACAGTTGTATATTTGTACTTTAAAATGTTCTCAGTCTTAATGTCTAACACAGCAAATACAGACAGATATAACCCAGATACACCAAAGGTCTTTGGAATCCTTTCAAGGATGTAAATGGGTTCTGAAGCCAGAAAATTTGAGAACTGCTGCAATAAAGTTACCCAACATGGCATACCTTGAGACCAAAATGCCATCTCCAAGAGGCCACGTCCTACCTCTATACCTGAAGGGTGATTATGGGACCAAAAGTTATTTCCTGAGGATGTAGGTTTAGAAGGGATAGACCAGGAAGAACCTTGCTGTCTAAGCTAGCACCAGAGTCTTGTGTTGATCTTGGGATCTCCTTAGAATCAGTCAGAAGCATAACTGAGAACCTCCAGAGCTTCTCAGGATCTGGCTGAACCCAGATATTGTCAGAATCCTTGTCATCTCACACCTGGAAGCTTCTCCTGTAGGTATCACCCTGACACCCTCTGTTGCCCACTTGTACCCCGTGTCAAGCCTCCACTTGTAGGAAATCAGCTCTGACTACAAGCCCCAGGATCATATAAAATAGCCACTTTCCTTCTTACTTTTTTTTTTTGAGACAGAGTCTCACTGTCACCCAGGCTGGAGTGCAGTGGTGTGATCATAACCCACTGCAACCTCAAACCTCTGGGCTCAAGTGATCTTCCTGGCTCAGCCTCGTGAGTAGCTGGGACTATAGGTATGTGCCTCTACACCTGGCTAATTTTTTTATTTTTTGTAGAGATGGGGTCTACAACTCTTGGCCTCAAATGATCCTCCCACCTCGGCTTTCCTAAATGCTAGGATTATAAGTGTGAGCCACTGTGCCCAGCCACCATCCTTTTACTTTGAATGAGGGCTAAGCTGGATACGAAAAGTAAAATCATGGAGACATGCACCCAGATTCACCTGCAAATTATACATGAATAGATCAGGATTGAAACAATCTATTCATATACTCTCATACCTTTAAATAATAAACCAGAAGTTCGTTGAGAGCAGGGTCCGCATTCAGGTTGACTAAGTAGCATTTGTCGTCCCCCACCTTGATACCAGATGTCTCTAGGGAAATCCCCATGCTTTCAAGTTGTCTTTGTCTCTCCTGTGCACAAAAACAGACAGAATCAGGGAACTCTATTTGTTGCTCTATTCATAAGATGTATCCATGGAAAGAGTAAGTCACTGTTTCTGGGGACAATGCCAATGAAGTCACACATTCCACTCAGCTCAATCAAGTTTATGGAGAGCCTGCGATGCATGACATCTTGTGGCAGTGTTATAGGGGCACCAAGGATGAACCAGATACTATCTCAGCTCCTGAGGAGCTTACAGCCTAGGAGAGGGGACAAAACCACACAACCAGAACCCCAAAGAGGAGAACACTGTGCTACTGGAGGGATACAAAATGCTGGGGGCTTCAAAGGAGGGAGATCATGATGGGTTAAGAGACCAGGAAAGCCTTCAGGAAAAGAATGTATTTGAGATGGTTCTTGAAGCATGAGAAGAGTTTCAACAGGAAAATAAGGACAAGGTGTTCTTGGGCCAGGACATACGGAAATACATTGAAGACTCGGGCATACTAGATGATTTTAGAGGTCAAGAACCCCTGGCAAATCTGGGAAAGCAGTTGGAGATGGTGCTGGAAGAGCAGACTGGGTCCTTCTAGAAGGCCTTGAATTCATTCATTCATTTATTCAAGAGAGATTTATCAGAGTCTACAATGTTGTAAGTAATGATCTAGGGCTGAGAATATAACAGTGGGGCAAAGTCCCTTCTTTCGTGCAAACATACATTCTAGTAGGAGGAGACAGACCATAAAAAAAAATACAGGTAAATATAATACATACAATTTCCAATGGTGTGAAGTGCTATGGAGAAACATAAATCAATGTGATAGGGATAGGAAGTGTGTGTGGGGGGGGTATGTGTGTGAATGACATCTACAAGAAACTTATCAGCAGAAGGCTAGACAGAGTTTCAGTGACTGCTTTTGAGCTACTTGATTGGGATGGTCAAATATTTCCAAATGTTCAATGAGATTAAAAATTTTCATGAAATGCATGGTGTAGGAATATTCATAACAGATACACACCCCTACAGAATTAGCCTGCCTGCCTGCCTCCCTCCCTCCCCTTTTTTTTTTTTTTGACATAGAGTCTCCCTTTGTTGCCCAGGCTAGAGTGAGTACCATGGCGTCAGCCTAGCTCACAGCAACCTCAAATTCCTGGGTTCAAGCAATCCTGCTGCCTCAGCCTCTGTGCCACCATGCCCGGCTAATTTTTTCTATATATATGTTAGTTGGCCAATTAATTTCTTTCTATTTATAATAGAGATGGGGTCTCGCTCTTGCTCAGGCTGGTTTCGAACTCCTGACCTCGAGCAATCCGCCCGCCTCGGCCTCCCAGAGTGTTAGGATTATAGGCGTGAGCCACCGCGCCCGGCACTTCCTTTCTTTTTAATTCAAGTAAAGATCATACAGTATTTCTAACAAGCCTAAAGAGTTAAATACATTGAAAAAACTATGATGAGTTGTATCTTATAAATTCTCTGCTATCAGATAGCCTCATGCTTTGCCAGGTGATCTAAAAATCACAGACTTTTGTTTAAATGTGAAGAGCAGGCCTGTAACCAGGCCTGTTCAAATTTGGTGCTAACACATCTAGTAAATACATGGACCAAATTGTAATTTGATATTAATAAAACACAAAGTCAGTGTCTAAGGCTGATCTTTGCAATCTCTAGTTCAGCAGAAAGGGACCCCTCAAAGATTTTTTGAGGATGATTGGTGGCTGTAAAGAAAAGACGAGTGAAAAAGAATCACAATTCTTTAGGCCTATGTTATCAAACCACCTGTGCGATCTCTTCTGTTTTCCTCAGCTTCTCTTCCCAAGTCACTGTCAGTTCTTTTATCAGCTTTTCAGACTCTTCGAGCTTCTCTTTCAGTTCAGGAGCCTTCATGGCCTTTAAAATGAAACCAAAGATATCTGACTTGCAAAATTTTTCCACCACTATGTCCAAGACAATCACTTACTGTCCTTCGTAAGCAGTTATAATAGTCTGTTGGAAACAATCAAGTCATACACTGTTGGGTGGGTTTTTGACCTTTACAATCAAATGGAATTTAAGAGAACATGGCTGCTCCTGTTTCAAGGAGAAAAAGAAATGGCAGTGTTGTGAATGAAAATGGAATAAATTGTTACACAGTCATCTTATCCATCATATTTAAATTTCACATTTAAAGATCTAAAAGATGCTGAAGTTAATCTTTGAAATAGAAAAGTAGGGGGAAAAGGTTACTTAAGCAGATTTCTTTTTCAATAAGACAGAGATCAACACACATCACTAATAATTACATTCCAGTTTTATTAATCTACTAGGAAAAGTAAAGATTTTTCTCATTTATTTAAAAGTTTGAATCTGGGCCCTTTAGACTACTTTTCTCCCAGTGATGTAATAAATTTAGCATATTTGTCATTCACTTGGGAGCAGGATATCTGGTTAAATGGGTTTCCAAGTTTGTTATAAGAATAACTAATGGGTCTAAATACAGATACTTGCAGCTTAAAAAATTTGGGGGAGAGCATTACTAGGTAACAATATGCTTTGATACCACATAGTAACACGAGCCTCTACAGAGTAAAACCCTGTGAATAAGAAAGGTGAGCAAGCTTGGATGGAGGAGAAGCTGAAATGGAGATGAGCTGAAAGCTGGCTGACAACGCCTGAGTTTCATGGTCAACAGAGCCTGAGAGTGGCATGTAGTGCAGGGTACATGTGAAAATTTTAGGTGGATCTACATGGGTCTTTTTTTTTTTTTTTTTGAGACAGAGTCTCGCTTTGTTGCCCAGGCTAGAGTGAGTGCCGTGGCGTCAGCCTAGCTCACAGCAACCTCAAACTCCTAGGCTCAAGCAATCCTGCTGCCTCAGCCTCCCGAGTAGCTGGGACTACAGGCATGTGCCACCATGCCCGGCTAATTTTTTCTATATATGTTAGTTGTCCAATTAATTTCTTTCTATTTATAGTAGACATGGGGTCTCACTCTTGCTCAGGGTGGTTTCGAACTCCTGACCTCGAGCAATCCACCCGCCTCGGCCTCCCAGAGTGCTAGGATTACAGGCGTGAGCCACCTCGCTACATGGGTCTTTTTTTCTTTCCTTTGGCCAGGTATTACTCTAGACATTTGACCTAGATTATATGGTCACAATGGAAATGCAAATTAGAAACAAGAGGAAGTAGATAATCCACCTATAATCAAATTCCAGAACCATTATATTAATACTTTCCTCCTAGCATTATGACTCTTTTTAAAGTTTAACAGCATTTTGATTTTTCTGGTGTTTTGCTACCTTTCTTGGCATCAATAAAAAAAATATGTTTAATGCACTGAATGATTACATAATGATGACTGAAAAAACAGCAACATTTATTGAGCATTTACTATATGCAAGGCATTGTGCTAAGTGCTTCCAGTAAAAATGTTGGACTACGGGTTAAGGATGAAAAAATTAATAAAACACAGCTTCTTGCACTTTAAGAGCCCACAGCTGGCCGGGCATGGTGGCTCACGCCTGTAATCCTAGCACTCTGGGAGGCTGAGGCAGGCAGATTGCTCGAGGTCAGGAGTTTGAAACCAGCCTGAGCAAGAGCAAGACCCCGTCTCTACTAAAAATAGAAACAAATTAATTGGCCAATAAAAATATGTAGAAAAAATTAGCCGGGCATGTGGTGCATATCTGTAGTTCCAGCTACTCGGGAGGCTGAGGCAGAAGGATCGCTTGAGCCCAGGAGTTTGAAGTTGCTGTGAGCTAGGCTAATGCCAAGGCACTCTAGCCAGGGCAACAGAGTGAGACTCTGTCTCTAAAAACAAACAAACAAACAAAAAAGAGCCCACAGCCTGGAAGATGAGAAAGGCATGTAAAAAAATAATTATAATACAACATCGAGATTACCGATTAAGAGAATATGCAGACTCTTGGTTTTGCCTTTTTATTTTTTCAGTCTTCTGTTGATTACTTTTTGATTAATTATGCTGACAGATAAAAGTATTTAAATAGTGCCTGGCACATAAGTGCTCAATAAATGATGACTATTAACTGTTTTTCTTTCTTTCTTTCTTTTTTTTTTTTTTTCCTTACTACTCTTCCAACTACAGTGGGGTCAGAGGGGTGGCAAAGGAATGTGAACTTTGGAAGTGTCAGGTACACACCCAAGTTCTGGTGTGTAGAAGCCTGTGACTTAAGCTAAGACACTTGGCCTCTAACACGGCCTTCTTACCTGTTTCAAATGAGACAGTGGCCCACCCAGCAATATGCAAAAAGCAACGCCTATTTGGAAGGTTATTAAAGTTTGGGAAAGTCAAGGAAAGAAGGTAACAATGCAAAACTATTGATTTTGTTTCCTGCCAGGGGCTGATATAAATGAGAAAGTAAAAGGAGATTTCCAAATTCTTAATGTTTATTTCATTATCCTTGATCACACTGTCTCTATGACTTTAACGAGGAGTGATATCTAGTTAACTTCTCTGAAAATTGTAAAGCCCTGTGGAAATATAGTCTACAATGTCAATAAAAGCAACACACTTTGTTCTCAGGATTTCCCATAGAAAGTTCAAGGGCCAACTGATTTACTGAAGCAAACGATTAGGTAGTAGCAGGAATTCTCTCTTAATTGTTTGCTTCCTAGCACAGAAGTCTTGTATTATATGTGTTGCTCTTCACAATGACAATGCTTAGCACATAGTAGATGCCAATAGACAATGGAGTGCTGAACCACACTGAGATGACCTAGACTGTTAGCAAGTACACCTTCACCACTCAGAGGCCACACACCAGGGAACTGCACGAACAGGGAGCACCAGGCTGATTTTACCTCTGCTTGCGAGAGCTGCTCTCTGAGTTTCTCAACTTCCTCTCGAAGTTCTCGGATGACTTTTGCATTGGGGTCCTCATTCACGACAGCGTGGTTCACGATCCTTTTGGCCCGATCTGCATATCTTAACGTGGAGAGGGTCTCCTCATAGTTGTCTGCTGCTGGGCTAATGGTGGCTATCATAGAGGTCTGGCTGTTGCCCCCCAAATTGTCCTGCAAAGTATTCCAAAGAGCATCTTAGGAAGCCCATTCCATGCGTGACACATAAAATAAAAGCAATATATAAATAAAGTATAACAGTACTCTCTACAAAGAAAATGCTATGTGGAAATGGCTTTGCATTTCACAGATAATTTTATGACAAGACACAATTTGTCCTCTATGTATTCACAGCAATAAACATGCCTGTCAATAGTATTATAATGGAATAAAAAGCAGCAGAAAATAGTTTTCACTCTGCGTTCCTAGTAATTAGCATACCTGTGTTGTTGGGAGAGTTCTTTGTGTATTTGGTTAACTTTGCACACACTTTTCAGCTGTCACATCTGAAACAGCCAATTTTTAGTTGGAAAAGAGCACTAGAGCAACAAATTACCTTAAGAAGCCAAGTGAGGACTGAATCTCGATAAGGCACAAATTTGTTTTTACCCTTGCCAGCTGCCTGGTCAGCCAATGAGGATATAACCAAGCCCAAGGTTGTAAGTGATCTGCCAAGAGAAGATGAAAAAATTAGTTTTATGGAATGTCTATATTTTGTTTTCATAAAATCCTTCTAGGTGACAAGTATAAAATATACAGAACAAAAAGGCTCTGAAGTTGACACAATCAAGTCTCCACTCATTTGTCAAGAAGCTGAGGAAAAAAAAAAAACCCAAAAAGTAACTTCATTAACTTAAAAGAATGAATTTGGAATCCCTGAGACTCTGCTCTCTTCCTTCACAGGACCTGTGGAACAAACATTTAAAAGACCACACTAGAGAATTTTAATTTACTCTCAATATTATAGTTAAAAGTCTATAAAAGGCTCTCTAATTTGAAACATGTGGCTTCTGATTTTGTTTCCCAGAATAACCGTGTAACTTGCATCCTTCCACTACACATCACAAACTACGTCCTGTTCTTCTGCTTAAAGCCAGCACATTGTTTCAATGTAGAGTTATTACAGTTGGACAAAAGCAAAGAGCTGCCCAGGTAGAGGGCACAAAGTAACACAGCTATCGCCCGAGAGTAGGTTAAAAATGCAGACACTTGGAAGCCCCTCCAGACCTACTGAACCAGACCAGTTCAAGGTATCCCAGGTGGTTCATATACACACTAAATTTTCAGAAGCCCTGGCTGAATAATAACCCAGTGACAAATATATTTAGTTGTTGAGGCCTATCAAAGTGTGGTCCTGCAACCAGCAGCATCTCTATCATTTGGGACCTTGTTAGAAACACAAATTCTCAGGCCCCACTCCAGAACTAATGAATGAGAAACTTACAAAGGGACCAGCAATGTGTGCTTTAACAAGCCCTCCAGGTGATTCTGATGCAGGTTAGTTTGAGAATCACTGTCCTAGGCTAACAAGCTTTCTTTGGTGGCTTATACACCTTCTCCCCACCTGCAGAAGAGTGCTGTAAAGACAACAGATTTGTGGTACCGAGGGACGAAGGATATCCTCTTATGTCACAGTTAAGTACCAAATGCTCTTTTATAAGGAAGTCAATTGGATTCCAAATGGAAACAGCAGGCTTGGCAGATCTCACAAAATTGCAAGGAGAGTTACAAAACATCACAAGAAAGTGCTTTGTAAATGGTTTGAAAAGTTGAATGATACTACTTATTTATAATAATAAAGAAGGACACAAACCAGCAAGTCAAAGACTAGGCAGGCTTCTTTCTAATATTAACAATAGATTTCTATCAAATAGGTTGAAAGGAAAGAAAGCGTATTTCCCAGAAAACATAATTCCCCAAAGGCGAGTCACTGAAATACAAAGCGAATTCAAGATTCAGAGAATGAATGAGAATTCATTCTATCAGAATGGCTGTTAGAATTTTAGTAACTAGCAGCCATGACTACAGAATGGTGTAAATATGTACATCTTCTTAAGTAAAAGAGTCAGACATAGAAAGACAAATATTGCATGTTTTCACTTGTAAGTAGGAGCTAAATAATGTACACATGGTTGTACAGAGAGGAATGGTAGAGACTCAGAAGGACAGGGTGTGGGAGAAAGTTGGGTGATGAGAAACTACTTATTGAGTACAATGCATGTTATTTGAATGATGGATACCTTAAAAGCCCTGACTTGATCACTATGCAATCTATTTATGTAACAAAATTTCACTTGGATCCCATAAATTATACCAAAAAAGTAAATCACACTTGATAGATTTATAAGTTAAACAAGTCTAACCCAAGAGAAACGAAAATGTTAAGTCTACACAAAAACTTACACATGAATTTTCAAAGCAGCATTATTCACAAAAGCCAAAATGTGGAAACCCAAATGTCCATCAAATGATGAAATGATGGATAAAATCTGGCATATCCATGCAATGGAATATTATTTGGCCATATAAAGGACTGAAACTCTGATACATGCTACAACATGGATGAACCTTGGCAAATCATGCTAAGTGAAAGAAGACAAACACATGAGGCCACTGTCCTAGGTTGAACAGTGTCTCCCAAAAATTCATGTCCACCAGACCCTCAGCTTGTGATATGTTATGGGAGCTCTAGAAAGCTGATCCAGCCATGCACTGTATGATTCCATTTATATGAAATATCCAGAATAGGCAAATCCATAGAGATGGAGGTAGAAGATTGACTAGGGCTGTGGGTGGAGGAAATGGGGAAAGACTTGGACACAAGGTTTCTTTTGGGTGTGATGAAAATGTTTTAAAATTAGACTGTGGTGATGGCTGCACAACTCTGTGAACATTTTAAATCTACTGAACTGGACACTTTAAAATGGTGAACTATATGATATGCTAATTATTTCTCAATATAGCTGTTTTTTTTAAAAAAAGTCCAATCACTCCTCCAAAGGTAACAATTTTAAGAAAGAAAACTGTATATCAATCATATGAAAAGAGGCAAACAGGAGTTCAGTATCAGCTAGAAATACATTTCTTCTTTAACATAGAATATTGAGCATTTTTTCACATTTAGCAAGTACTAAAATACAATTTCTGATTGGAAACAATTCTTTGAACTATCCCAGATATTTTACTATCCAAGTGCAGAATTTATTTACTTTTTTGAGACAGAGTCTTGCTCTGTTGCCCTAGGTAGAATGCAGTGACATCATCATAGCTCACTGCAACCTCAAACTCCCAGGCTCCCGCGATCCTTCTGCCTCAGCCTCCTGGGTAGCTGGGACTACAGGCGTAAGCCACGACACCTGGCTAGTTTTTCTGTTTTTAGTGGAGACGGGTCTTGCTCTTGGCTCAGGTTGGTCTCAAATTCCTGATCTCAAGTGATCCTCCTACCTCGGCCTCCCAGAGTACTGGGATTACAGGCATGAGCCACTGTGTCGGGCCCTTGGTAATAATTTTGTATCTTATTGTTACAAAGAATAACTCCAAAAGGGACAGGGCATAACTAGGTGTGTCTGACCTCCCTTCTGCTCATAGCAGACAAATCAGTTTTAAGATTTTTCTGGGGTGCCTTTGGCCAAAAGGGGTCCATTCAATCAGCTGGGGTGCTTAAGATCTTATTTGAGTTCACATGGCTAACAGTACCCCTTCACATGAAAACACATTTTGGGGATGAAATGGATTTTTCACCACGGAGAGAAGATGTTCTTCTGTCTTGTGGCAACTGTTTATATTTCCTAATTTGACAGTGCAGGGAGAAAAAAGGGAAAGTTTCTGGAACTCCTAAATGATGAAACATAAAATCAATCCAATTACCACTGTGCAATGTCTTCTCTGTAAGATGAGTGAAGGGAATTGCAAAATACCAGCCCAAAATATGTCTCATTGGCATACAAATTATTTTGAACTATTAATAAATGCCAATGAGAATCAGCAGACTCAGGAAAAGCACTAAAAAAGAGGGCACGAGCTTTCCTTTATTTTGAGACAGAGTCTCACTTTGTTGTCCAGACTAGAGTGCCTTGGCGTCAGCCTAGCTCACAGCAACCTCAAACTCCTGGCTCAAGCAATCCTCCTGCCTCAGCCTCCCGAGTAGCTGGGACCACAGGCATGCCCCGCTATGCCTGGCTTATTTTTTATATTTTTAGTTGGCCAATTAATTTCTTTCTATTTTTTAATAGAGATGGGGTTTCGTTCTTGATAGTTTTGAACTTCTGACCTTGAACGATCCTCCTGCCTTGGCATCCCAGAGTGCTAGGATTACAGGTGTGAGCCACTGTGTTGGGCCCAAGCTTTCCTTTTGTAAAGGAAATTTCCATTTGTTAGAGGTGTCTCCCACTCCAGCCCAGGTAGGGGAGGACTCAATAGCTCTTAACAGTAGGAAGGCAGTGAACTAAACCTACATAACAAAACATTACTGAACCATCCTTGTTCATCAGGCTTCCCCTGGTCATCTTCCCATAGCTGGCCTTCCCCATCCAGAAGCCTCAAACCCCTTTTATTCCTTTTGTTTCAGCCTAAGATGATATATATAGACCCAAGTTCTAACTGCCCTGTTGGGTCACTCATCTCTGGATGCTTCCATGTGTAAACAAGATGCACATGCTAATAAACTTCTGGTTGCTTTTCTCTTGTTAATTTGTTTTTGGCCAGTCTAATTTACTGGGAACGTAGAGGAAAAAGATTGTTTTTTTCTCTGCCCTGCATTAGTATAGTATGCAAGCATCAGCAGCAGAGGGGTGGAGCTGTACAGAAATGGTATATAACTGCAGTTTCCGTGTGCACTTTGCTCTATAACTTATCCAGTTAGAGAAGTGTATCATTAGGAGAAGCCACACCCTTTTGCCTAATAGGATACACACACTGAAGACAAGAACTCTATCTAAACCTATTACAGGTCCCCTTGGAACAAAAAGAAAATAACTGCAAGAGGCCAGGTCATCCAGTGATGAGCAGCCTATACCATCCTTCTCTTCTAGGTTCCACCCAGAAGCAATGATCCGGGGGCTTCTAGAACCCTCCAAACCAAAAGTTCAACATCTGAAAGATGAACCACAGGTTTATACATTTTTTTGTTTGTTTTGTAAGAAAACTTTTTTTTTTTAGGCTTACATATTTTAATGAGAATTTTATTCCCAGGGAGCTTAAAAATATAATAAAACCACTCATTATGGATGCTGTTAGTACTGTCTTCTCAAGCTGGAGGCACAGGGCAGCTCGTTGCCCTCACTGATGTCCAGAAGAGGGTGGCAGTGGTTTGCCAATTTTAGGGGCAGAAAAAATTATTCTAGGAATCTTTTTATTCTACCAAAGCACTACTCCTTCCCTGAACCTGCTGGAGTTGGATACAGTAAGGAAGCTCCTAATCTTTAAATCTCTTACTACAAATTCTTGAGCAGGGCTGGACTGGAGAGGAAGAAAGTCTTAGGTTATGTTTATAAACAGAGTTATGTTTTAAGATAGAAAATTTTAAAAAGCTACCAATCTGTAATAATGAAGAACTCAGGATTTTAAAAAAGCAAATGAAACTTGGGAGTGTCAAAACAAAAGCTGTTCCAATAAATAAAATCAACAAGAAAAAATTGAACATGATTTTTTTCTTTTCTGCATCTCCCCA